ACATTTATGACTAGAATCTTTATTATATATATGTAAGGTAAAAGAGGGGAAGGGAAGCCGCCGGTCACCCGGTTCGGCACAGCTCATCTGGAGTTGCTGGGCACCGCCCAGTTGGGGTGAGGACTGTCGGACCATCTAATTAGTCTGCGTCTCGACACCCTAAAAATGCACCATTTTTCGAGCAAGTGACTTTGAAGTCTTCTTATTCTGCACAGGGCAGACCAAATCTTTGATTACTGCGAACATTGTTGGGGTAATGCCTTGCACATCTTTTGGACCCATCATCCAGGCGTGGCGATCCGCGCAGAAGCGACGCCAGTTACGAAAAGAGTTGCAGTCAGAGGCAAGTTCGACAACTTGTAATTTCTGAGCGCAAATCGCAAAACTCGAGTGCAGCTGTCAGAAGTTAACAGGCTCCTCAATCAAATCACTCATGATTTGGACGAAATTCTTTGAACTGCACAAAAAATGGCCGTACGAATAAAAATTGTGAAATTTTTGTGGTTGGAAAGATTTCTCCTCTTGACGTGCAGATAAAACACGTCTTGGCATCAATAAAAGTCAGAGGCGGTATTGAAAACTTTAAGCTTTTCTCTACTGAACAGTATAAAAAACTTAGTGTCAAAGTGCGACCGAGCGCCGAAAAAATTCGATTGAAAATGAAATTTCCAAAAGTGCCCGGGAACGTTCTTTACAACCTAATAGTACGGCAACCTCAGCATGTTGTTGCATTAGAAATTTCAATATGAGGCAGCATTAAAGCAGCAATCCTGACTTGCTGCTGCGTTATAGCAGAAGGCTACAATCTGCCGCAGCATTGTAGGGTAACAACTTCAGCATGCTGTTGCATTATAGTGCAAGTTTCAATATGCGGCAGCATTAAAGGCAGCGTCCACCCATAATTTGACCCCCCATGTTTTCGTCATTCTGGGGCCTTTCCGTGGTGGCCCTGATTACAGTTCCGAACTTCAAACTCTCTAAAATTTACAAAAAAAACCCGATTCTTGGGGACCCAGTCTTGAGAGCGCGGACGAGTTTCGAATTGCTCGTCCCCGTCGGCAGGCCAGCGGGAAGGAGCTGCAACTGCATGGGTGCAGTTGCATTGCAGTGTGCAGTGTGCAGCTTCTGCTCACTACCTTGTCAATACGTGTCGGGAGGCACGTATTGACAAGTTAGTGAGCAGTCCTGGCTGGGCGGAGTCTGAGATCAGAGACAACGTTAGAAGACCGGACCAACGCAGATGTCCCTTTTCTGGGGCCTACATCCAGGATCGACACTAGTCGAAGGGGGTTAAGTTTAGCCTGGACACTGCCTTTAAAGCAGCAATTCTGACTTGCTGTTGCATTACAGTAGGAGGTTGATCTGCTGCAGCATTGTAGCGTGGCAAACTCAGCATGTTGTTGCATTGAAGTAGAAGTTTCAAAATGCGGCAGCACTGAAGCGTAGCAACTCCAACTTGTTGTTGCATTGCAGAGGGCTACAATCTGCTACAGCATTGTAGCGTGGCAACTTCAGCCTGCTGTTGCATTATAAATAGTAGAAAATTCAATATACGGCAGCATTAGCGTCGAGCAACTTCAACGTATTATTGCTTTATGGGACTGAATTCTGCTGCGCCACTGAAGCATAGCAACCCTAAATTGTTGTTGCATTACTGCAGAATGTTACATTCTGCTGCAGCATCGTAGCCTAGCAACTTCAATTTGTGTTGCATTGCAGAATGGTATAACCTGCTGCAGCACGATAGCGTAAAAGCCTCAACCTGTTGTTGCATTATTGTTAACCGTCATATCTGCTGCAATATTTCAATGGAGCATTATCAATTAGTGAAGATTGTTGAAGAACACTGAAATATAATATGATGCTGCATCATCAGATCGCCGTTACATTGTTGTATATATGGTACAGCATTAGCACTAGCAAAAAATCAAATTTTATGACTAAAATATTCGAATTGACGACCCTTATTCGACTCTCAAATAGCTACTGATTTGTTTGAGAAAAATTGTGTGCGCTTCTACAAGGATCAAGTGTAAGAAACAGATCCGAGTTATTCAAACTCTGGACAGTCTTGTTAGCCATACACACAGGGATGAGGTTCCGCAGGATCTGCCGAGTAATCTCTAGATATTAATAAGGCGCACTTTTGCTCCTCGGCTAAGCGTAAACATCACTAGCAACCAGTGGCGTACCCAGGATTCCGGCTCGGGGGGGGGGGGCGGCAAAAAAATTTTCAGATGAAGGTGCGTGGCGTCAGCCACACCCTCGAAAAAAATTTTTTTGTAAGGCTAATTTGAATTTTCAAAAAATTTTAGAAATTATTTTAATTGTTTGCAAAAATAAACAAGTCACTTGCACATTTTTATAACCCATGTAAGTAACTTTCAAAAATTTCGCGACCCGTTCTCGGGGGGGGGGGGGGGGGCCCCCTCGGTACGCCACTGCTAGCAACGTTCAAATATCGGGCGTGTGATCCGATTTTGGGAAAGTTTGGATACCGCTTGATTAACATGATATACTGATATTATGACATGCACTTTCCAAGTAGAACTGACTCAAATTCAAGTTGACAGTGATGACTAATAACTCTTGATATATGTATATTTGTAACAGAATAGTGACTAATCAGTACAGCAACTGTCAAGAACTTTAATGCACATAAGAGTAGATTTCTTTCACACTGTCAAAAACGAGTCAACCAAAGAAGAAGCCAAGTAGTCATTTCGGCTGGCACGAAACAAGCAGGTGTTTCCGTTCGAGATTTTCCTCGTTGCGGTCAATGCTCTATAGCATCGCCGAGGTTTGCAAGAAGCTGACGTAAACTTTAAGAAGCACGAACAATGTAAAGCTCTGTTGTACAACTTGTTGACTCTCTGTTCCGCTTCAAGCTAGCCTTTTCCCTCGTATACGTAAAATTCCAAACTCTGATTTCTATGATCATTCGCTTATTATTTGGTGAGGAGATAAAGAAAAGTGTTTAAATGCAAATTTGACGCATAGAGTACACCTGCCTCAGAAAGAATCTGCAGTCACAAAATATAGATTATCCGAATGTTTATCTTCTTAAAGGCTTTGTGTCGTCAAAGCAAAGCAAAATATGATTTCGCCCTAATCAAAATTATCTATTATGTGACTGATGTTTTCTTACAATTTCTACGTCTTCCTTAACAAAACTTCAGAATGACAATATTCCATACCTGGTACATACGAAGGACCAGCGGCCCATACAAGGACATCATTTCCGGCCTTATAGGCGTAAACTACGCTAAAAGCAAATACGTACAAAATTTCCACCTCTTTTTTTCTTTAGGTATTCTACCATTCTCTTTTGCACCGTCCTAAATTTTCTTATGTAGTTGCCAGAACATCAGTGCTGGTGTAAAGGCTTTTGGAAAGTTCAAACTCTTCAATAACGCAATTTTGGATCTGCCAAAAAAAAACACAAATTTGAAAAAATTCTGCCACGGCCTTTAATTGGTGTAATTGCACCAGCTGACAAGAGATCAAATGCGAGTATGAAGATATCCGCGCAAACTTCACCGATCAGAGTTTTTTTTCCACATTGATGCCACAACTTTTCCTCTAAGCCGTAAATCACTCCAACATGGAAAATGCAGCAGTATCGAAATTTTTGAGCGAGTGCATGTCCTAGTTTATTCACTTACGGGAGGGGGGGGGGGGAGGCTGTTCAAAAAGACCTACTCAATATTAATGAGTCATCGACACATTGCATTCTTACTTCGTTTGTCACAACACGGTTGTAATCAATCTGTCGCCACCTGTCACATGACATTGCGTTTTTTATTCGTCGATGGACTGCCCTTATTCGAGAATTTACTCCTAAAAGTTAGGAAAAATGGATAGAAGTATCTTATACACAACTTAAGTCTTTCATCTTACTATATACAATCACTTTTGAAATTTAAGTACTCACTTTTTGAAACTTGAGTGCTGACTTTTATGACTTATTTTGTTCAATTGCTAGCAGATATGATCGTTCTAAAGTTCCGAATAGCATAGTTATAAGACGTACTATCAAAATATTTTCATTTTTTATTAGGTTGGGAACAAGTTATGTAGCATCTCCCATAACATTTTCCTTCGTGATTATGGTGCACCCAATTTTTTCCATTACCTAGATTATGATGTGACATACAAGCTGCACAAATTGTTTGATTTTTAGTAACAAATTAAAAAGCTATACCCATTTTTGGAAAACTGGTAGAAATCGACGTATTTCGATACTCGTTCAGAATAGGTTAGAGAAATTATTCTGCTCCTTTTCCGACAAGAGAATATTTTTTGCGTTTTCCATTTTTCTTCAAATGTATTTTACTTGTAACAAACCATATACTAGAGTAATTATGTCAGTTGAATTAATTACGGGCAATTTCCTCAAAATTTCCATACTTTCTCGCGGAACAATTGTTTCTAAACCTGAAAAAATCAAAAGAGGTAACAAAACCTCTCCTTGCTACCAATAAATTCTCAGCGAGAGGAACTGGAGTTAATTTATCGACGTTACAAATGCTTGAAACTTTCCGCGAGCTCAGCAACTTTTGTTTTTTCTTCCATAAGAAGGCTAGATCGGATTTCTAGAAGCTATCGTCACTTAGCAAAGCTTGTCAGCTTTGATTAGACATTCATATTCATACAAGATCCTGCGAATCCTTGCCTGATAGATTCTTCGCAAGCTTAGATTTGTTTTTTCCCGTTCATATTGACCTATTTTTTGCTTTTGAAAAAAAATCCGCTTATGAAACTAGCCATTGTTGCTCTGCTACACTCAAAATATCGCTCAATTACTCCCCCCCTGTTTTTTTCAAACTTTTGTGCACCCCATTCCCAGCACTGTCAAACACGGTTAAAGCATCCGACCACAAACATTTTCTGATGACCTTGCTACCCTTTTAACTCCCCGCCGATTGGGCAATGATAGCTTATCGATCCGCACACTTCAAACTTTTTTGAAAAACACACAAACAAAATTTATCGAAATCAGGTGTGTATTTTCGACAAGTCCACCCTCGTGCCGAACGCGATCGTCGTCATCAAAACGAACTGCCGAAACTGATTTCTGCTCGCTCTCAATCACACATACACTGCGGACCATTAGGCTTTTACAACGTGCCACTATTCACCAGATGTTCTTCCAAACGTAGGTTTTTCTATTTCTTTTTTTTTTCTTAGAGTGCATCTATGGCTTAACATAATTGCTTCTGTCTAAGCTTTCTAAAAATATTATTTCCAAAAATCCAAAAAAAAATTCTAAAAAATTTCCCAATTTCGAAATACCTCAAACCCAAGTAGGTGATTTTTGCCCCATCAATAATGTGGTGATTTGCATTACAACTGAAACTTCGAATGCTTGCCCTTTTTGTGAATTTATTGAGTCGTACGAGTGCAACGTCGAACATAATGCGCAATCAAGAAACAATCTGGAACTAATATTTTATGAGAAACTGAAGCAAACATTCTCTCTCCAGGAATCAATCAAAGTGTTTCGAAATTTTCTAAATTATAGTAGCAACTACGAAGTAATTTCTGGTTTTCTTCTATACGATTGATAGTAATTTCGCTAGAAAAATTTTATTTACATACTTGTAACTAGAAATTGCATTCCTTCTATTGAGTTGATGCAAAAAGAATGGCCGATTTTCCAAGCCTTTTTTCGGGGCAACTTTTTCCATGAAATTTCTTTCTAAGGTAAATGTTGCATGCCCCCGAGAATCCGTTTTCATATTCCATCTAATAGTGGTTAGAGCTGGGTTTTCGCCTCACCTGATATAAAGTTGCTGAGCTTCAAATAACCGCATCCAAATTCAAAATTTTATGGCAATCACTTTCCTGGCCAGAATTCAAGCGCGTATGAATGGAGCTTCTCCGGAAGTTTAGCTGTTATGTGTAACAAAATTTGTCTATATGCACACTTGATTGTATTTTCTGAATTTATCCAAACCGAGATCTCGGGCCTTAACATGGGTAGCCGTTGCGGTCATTCTATGACCCATAAACTTCTTTTCTAGAACTCAGTCGCCAAAACTTTGCTCAACTTTGTAAGGGTAATGCTAGTGCATCTTATTGACACTTTTTGCAAAAACACCCAACTGTTCAGTACGCAAAATATCAGAAAATTCTGTATTCGAGATTTTGAGGCATACTAAAAAATGTTGAAAACTGACAACTTTGTATTTTTATCTTCTTCGTCTTCGCAGTTTTTTTCTACATACCCTTTTCATCGTATTTTCCTACTGTCTTGCGGCTACAATATAGGCCACTTATCACTCATACTGCAAACTTAGGAAGTTATTAATTGTCAATAACAAGTTTGAAAAAAACCTTTCTCTTTGTTTTTAATCTTTTTTTTGCACGTTTGTGATGTGAGTACAAATAAATGTGCGCTGTATCGAAAACGTTTTACCACTTCTGATGGTCTTGACCGTAGTTAGAAATGTGGTTTTTCAAAAAGTTAAAGCACGTCAAAGTGAGAATTCGCAAACGGCCGCTATTTTTCATTAATCTAATATACAGGGTGTCCCAAAAAGATGTGGACACTGTATCGTTAATAACTCTCTTGCTTTCACATCTTTTACCGAGCTTGAGGAACCATTCTGTAGGGCGAGGCTCAGCTTAGATTTATTGTAAGGAGCGATTTACCAATCGCTCTTCATTACTGTAAGATTACGGTATGAACTTTCAGCATACAGCGTCCCTGGAGAATAGCCCTTTTGATGAAATAATTTCAAAAAAATCTGAAAATTTGTGTAGCAAGGATTTAGGCGTGCTGACTTCATCACATGACTTTTCAAAAATTTTGCGAGCTTTCTTGATCGCGTATTCCCATTTTTGACAAACACTGGAAAAGCAGTTGTTACCCTTTGAAGTAAGTTATCAATGAAGCACTATACTGAAGTGCAAGTTTCATATTTAGATTCAGCGACTTCGATTAGCCCAGTTCAAGATTATGTGGCTTGTTTGCCTTCCTTTCTGAGGCAAAATATGGCAAAATACTGCTTTCAATGGCTTGACTTGATATCCTCCTCAAAGTTCCTACCGTAATCTTACAGTAATGAAGAGCGATCGATGGTTCACTCTACATTACAAATCTAAGTTTAACCTCGCTCTACAGAATGGTATCTCAATCTCGGCAAAAGACAGAACGCAGGAGAGTTATTAACCATCAAACAGTGTGCATATCTTTTTGGGGACATTCTGTATATAAAGGTACTGCAATTTACGAAAATAGCCTTTTCAAAGTGTGCCAATTCCTCCAATTTTTGACTTGCGGTCTGTATAGATCTATTATTCTGAAAGCAGACTATACAAGTATGCTAATCACTACTAATTATTTCAATCATCAGTCTAGACTTTGTCTAATTCTTTGAAAACCTTTTCTTTTGAAACTCAGACATTTTGAGAACAAAGGTATCACTGACTATATTTATGGAAAGGCTCTCAAAGCTAGGTCCACGTCCGTATTTCAAAATAAAAAATCTTTCGTTCCTATGAATTTGAAAACTTCCTAAGACTTTAGAAACAATGGGATTGAATTGAACGCTACGAAACCTTTGCCTTCAAAGGATTCATTATCATCGTAAAGTCATAAATATTCGAAATTATGTGCTTCACAGTTATAAATGCTAGTGATTTCAAAAACTGAGACTGAAAGATGACTCGCTATCAGCATTGTGCAAATAATGACTGCAATCGAAGAAACGCTGGCGCCTGCAAAAAGTGATTAATCTTGACCATTACCGCTATTTAATTAGGTCACTGTAAAAAAACCTTATTTCACACTTTCCTATTGGGATCATGGAATCATGTCAGGAATTTTCACTCTGCCCAAATCCTAACCAGGCCAAAATTGGCATGGTGGAAGTTCTTGTCGCGAGGGTCTTGCGTCACGTCTACGTCTAGCTAGTCTGCTCTCCTCAATCTCTTCGCTCTATGCAACAGCGCGCGTATGCAGCGCAAACCCCTAGCGCTGCGTGCGCGCAAAATTCAGCCGACGGTTCGGCCTGGTCCCGATTGGGACAGGCTGTAGTTACATTACGCTTTTGTGCATCTTTTTTATTGAAAGTTTTCTCAAGCTACAAAGTATTCGAGCCGGCCTCGATTCGCTATTTACTTATTCAATGAGTTAGGGTCCCTTGATCCACAAAGTGGAATATGGATCTTATCTTTTGATAAATTTCACCAGTCTCTACAGGGAAAAAATAAAGCAGTAAAAAACTAGGCCACTAGGAAAGAAGAAGAAAGAGGAACTCAATATGACAAGTACGCTAATACTGCACGAAAGGAAAAAACAGTTTGAGAGAATCCCAAAGAAAATCTCATGTTAATTACAGAAAATGTAGTACAGAATTGGTTTTTACATGTCCCCTTCATTGACTTTCTTAATATAGTACAGTACAAGACTTAATCCCCTTTCTGACAAATTCCCACGAAATCAATTACTTCACAATTCTTACAATCATCCTTCTACCAACTTTGTTTGTATGATCACCGTTTTACTCCTGCATATTTCGTTCTGCGAATACTAGAAACAAAGTACTGTTAGGTTTTTTCGAAATAAACCAACATCTTACGGCTTGCTTTTCTTCCTAACTTTTTCCAGTACCACTAAGAAACAAGGAGTGCATGCGCATGACTAAGATTTTGTTTTCCAAAGTACAACACTCACACTAACCAATATATCTGACTCACCACCCCCCCCTTGCATAAGAACATTCCGGATTTTGTCAATATGCCCAATATTCTAGTCTAACTTCTGTATGCGTAACCACCTTTTCGGTAACAACCTGGTATACTGGATTGTGCAGGGTAAAAAAAAGGAAAGGGACACAAAAATTATACTTTTTTTGTACTGAGTCACGTCATGAGTTTATAGGTACTCAAAAAGCCAGAATTCTTTGTCAGCTTAGATAATTTCCGTGCATAGCACCAACTGAACAGTATTGTTCAAAACAATGACAGATGTTATAGGCTTTGGCACCTCCCATCGAGACTGATTCGTGCCATCTACAGTATGCCTACAGTACTCCTACAGTAATGAGAAATGAGCGAAAACCAGCTGAATGGCGGAATAAATGACCTGCCATTCATTAGCGAAACCGAATATATGCCGTCATAAAACATCTTTTTTTACTTCTTCGTAAGCCACTATTATTGAAGCATACTCAAGCACTTACGATAAAAGTTCTCGTCATAAAAATCGCGCTTCCTTGATTTAGATATACTCTCATTCGTAGACCAATTGCTTATTTCATACAAATTTGAAAGAGAGTCTAGATATCATGTTTTTTGTTCTCTAACTTTATTCATTTACCAACTATTGAAGAAATTAGACGATAAATAATTACTGTCATCCATGAAATTAGCCATTCTTGTCAATCAAGCGACTTTCAAAGTAGATTATAACAAGACATAATCGATTATTCTGTGCTGATTCCGAGTAATATTTTCACTCCGAAATTTAGGGAAGGAAATCGAGCCTTATTCCACTATATCATTGGAATAACTAGTTTTGTCGTTTTACTCCTGTTCTGCTGTACTTTACAATGTTTCGTATGTCGACGATTACGGAGGAAACGACGATACGACGAGGTTAACTTTGCATTCGTAACAATTCTACATTTTCTCTTCATTCGATTAAACATCGGTTTCCAGAACTTCGAACCACTCCACTACCCATCATCAACTTTACAGTTCGTACGCTTCAGTCATAACAGGAGAGAACAGCAAAAAATGAATGCAACAACATTCGACATTCCATGTAATGACCAAAAATAAAGGTTCGCTATGCGTTTCGACCACAGAAGAAACGCACTTGATGGTAACATTCACCTTTATTTTGGTCGTTTTTGCAGACTACACAAACAACAAGACAATTTATAGGCAACTGTACAGCATTTTTTGCGCGAGTAAATGAACGAGGAGTAATTACAATCTACGATATGTATAGTCAAGCTAATCAATCAAAGCTATTTTTGCAGCACAGTAAGGAAACATAGAGGGGAAACTATATGCAAAGAAAAAGCGACTACAGGCAAAAAAAGTGTCTTCACAACTCTGTGTAGCTAAAAAGGACAGAAAAGAGTTGGAAAAATGCAGCGACAAACCTGACATGAGTTGTTCAGCAAAAATCTAACTGTAACATAAGAAGCCCAGATCGCTTTAGTTTCGAGCATTGACTCGCCGAGCAATTGCTTCAAGCAGAGAACACCGTCATCGCAGATACCAGACAAAGATAAATAGGAAATTCCCTTAGGAAAACTCAAATGACGTTTTGTGCAAAGGAACAAAAACACAAATCACCGTTAGTTCCTCTTAACACGCTGAACAACTCACGACCTAAACAATTTGGCCTTGCTGCAAGTCATGTTCATCAACGTGAACAAGGTGCATGTGATGTTCATCCTCTAGATGTTCAAGTCCAGGGATTTTGGTGATTGCAGTTTTGTAGTCGCGCATTTCCTGAAAGAAAAACATTTACGGGAAGGAGCATGCCGCAGCAACCAATCAATCATGAGAAAATATACTGTTTAACAAAACACAACCCAGTTGCTTTGATGGTATGTTCTGCAATAAACTTCGCTAGGGAACGAAAATATTTCCCTGAATGGCTTGCTAAGTACAATAAGGGGCGCTTATTACTGTTGTGCTGAGAATGACACATTTACTTCACACGTGTAATAAGCGCAAAGCGGCTCTAACACTTGAGATGGACATGTCACCTTCAGCACACTAATAAGCTTCACAAAGTGTTTTATAAAATTGGAGACGAACTGATATGGACACTTGAGATATATTATAATCCCATCCCTCTTAAACGAAATGGAAAAACAATTACTGCGACACTGGTTACAACATAGAGTAAGACATGTATGTCGTATTTCGAAATCATAACTGAAGTACAGTAAATTTTCGTAATCTCCGAAAACTCGCCTCTGCATATCTCTCTTTATCTGCAAGTGCTTTTCTTTCATACATGTCTTTTTCGTCCATTGAGACATTCTTCCACATTCTTCCCAGTTCTTGAGCAACCTTGAATTGCACAGTTTAAGAAACAAGATGTAAGTGCAAACACTGAACCAAAATACCTGTCCAACTTTCCATTCTGGATGCATTTGCTGAACTTCGGGTCTTCGATCTTGTGAGAAGAAGAAGAATGCGGACCTGCAAAATAACTTAGTCAAGAAGGAAAAAAGTAGTCGTGTTCATGCAGACATACAGAGCACGTTTTGGTGCATTGGGATCCTTCTTGGCACGCTTTCGCTTTCGCATGGCATCTTCACCACCGTAAGCAGCAACCTGTAACATTTATATTGAGAATCCTGGTTGGTGTGAACTGATCAACCATTTCGCGACAAGAGCAACTGACCTCTGCTTGATACCTTTCAGCATCCTTTTGTGCCAATTCATAGAATCGTCTCTTTTCATCATCCGACATAGTCTTAAATAAAGCGTGAGACTGTCAAAGATACAACGGAAACTCGATATAAAACTTACTTTCCATTTTTCACTGCATTTCTTTGAGATCTCCGTCACTTGCACATTCTCATTCGGATATTTCTTTTTGTGCTCTTCATAGCACATCTTCACGAAGAAGCCATAAGGCGAAGTTTTGCCACGAACCGGAGGTTTGCCAATGTCCCGCATTGACATAACACAGCAAGAAACACCAGCACAAGCAATTCACTAAATTAATAAGAAATCACCATCTTTGAATGATTTGGTAAAAAAGATTCAAGCTTGACTCAAGACACATATGGTCGCGTTTGAGAACATGTGAATGCAAAGCAATTATCAAAAAAACTCTTAATTTTTGCACTGATGCAAAATGATTAGTAACATGTATTGCAAGATGTAGCGTTGCTTTGACTGCGCTCTAATACAAGGTTGTACTTCTAAATTGGTCTTCCCTCCATTGACTTTGCAATTAATTGATCAATCTGACAGTTCTTCCTTGCACAAACTACGGCAAGCTATCGCTGATTCTTCTCTGAACTATTCAATAGGACACACTATTTGCATGTATCTGGTCTATTATTTGCTGAAGCACATCGATAGACTCTTTGTGATAGTACAGTGACTTCAAGCCCAGGCTGATATCAGTCACTCATGCGCGAGTTTTCAACCGATCGCAACAGCCACTGAATGCCCATGCCTTTCAAAAGCAAATTGACAGCCGGCCTTATGAATTTGAGTTACGAAAGGGAGTTTAGTATAGGTGCACGGTTATGTCCGAATCGCAGAACTGTTAGGGAACGGCTATAGTTGCCAGCAACTGCGTCCGAGGTTGTCGAGGTTGCCCGAGTTGCCGTTCGCTGGGACTGGCCACCCTGGCCATATTCCAGGAGATGATTTCCGCGATTCCTGTAATTCCTGTGATTCCTCCACTTGCAATGTGCCGCACTACGGAGCGCTTTGCGAATTTCAGTATACATTGTTTTTTCGCAATGTACATTGTTGCGGGACCCGCAGGAATCACGAAAATCGCAGCAATTGCAGAGATCACAGGAATTAGTATGGCCGGTCCCGTAGTAGGATCTCATGATAGCCTCCACGTTTCGCGCACTAAGGCTGCGTTCATACTAATCCCGAAGTCCGGGAACAGTTCAGCACAGCGCTCGAACTAGCACTGTGCTGGAACTGTTCTCGGTCCTCGTGATCAGTATGAACGCAGTCTAAGCTGTCTCTGACCCCGGCAACCTCAAACACAGTTGCCGGCAACATATGACCATTTCCTAGACTTCCAGAGAGCTGCTGACCACAGAACGCTCACATAACATAGTAGGGCTTTGTAGGAATGCGGTAGACGCACGGCATGGATGATATTTTTTGCACTGCAAGATTCACCTTCAGATGTGTACGAAAGTGACAAACCATGGCATGTCCAATAGTCACTTTCTGCAAAAATTCAGCTTCTGTGTATTGATCCTTCACCGTACGCCGACAGCGACCTCATAGAAAAAGCCCTATCATGTAGAGGCACTATATGTTCAGCATGCCGTGTGACTCCCAAAACCAAATCCAACAAAGATCTATGGTCTAGAATTTGGGTATGAATAGTTATAAATCTACCTCAACGACATGTCACTTTTTTCAGTAGGCAAGCTTTTCTCCAATCACTAAATCTTACAAATTCCACCGAACACCCAGACAAAAGTCCTCACGCTAATGCAGGACCGGTAATCTCAAGCAGCAGTGCAGAACGCAACATTGCCCCTCTCAGCTGATAACTGTATGAACAGCCGTCGCCAGGGTGCACGCATGCACTCAAGTACTCCATGCGGCATTGCACACGTTCAAACTGTTATTTCAAACGATCCCAACTGATCGAAAGTGACAATGTGTGTGGACGAATATGGCATCACGCATTGTGCAAGCGCAATACATGTGTTAGAGGTGTGACCAGATACTAGCACTTTGTTAAAAGTAAACAAATGAAGCATCTTAGGTGGCAAAAACCAAGTTAATGTTTGATACAACGCTTAAAACTCAAGAAGCAACGCAATTCCTGATAATCCGTATCAATAATCATATCTATAAGAACCAAATCGAAAACCAAAAATCGATAAGTCATGATCTGAAGCTGAGAAACTGTAAGATGACGGGACTTTGGTCAAGAAAATAATGAATCCAAGTACACCATTAGACGTTCCATTTTATTGCAGAGAAGTACTTCTTGGCGCAAACATCAATACCAACCCGTTGCACTTTTCGTAACTGCGCGCCAGTGAACGTTTTCCTCCTCATTGTTACGGAACAGGCACTTCTGGGCTATATATTCAAACGCGAACAATGTGTCTTCTTTTCTGATGCAATAAATAATGACTGTGCTGCATAAACTTTTCAGTAGAAACATAGATCTATTACTCGTAAGTCTATGTTTATACCTGGAGAGTTTACTATTGCGATTTACTTTTACTTCAATGTTATTAAAGCTTATGCGCGATTGTTAAGCAAAGCTCATATACTGCTAAAGTTCAAGACCTTCTAGAAAAATAGCGACTGCGCTCATTTTCCAAGCTTTCCAACGTAAAAGTCACACAAAACATGGCTGCATAATCGCAGCTGCAGCTGTTTGTCTCGTTCTCAGTGCGCTTCAAGTGCAGCCATTTTTTTATGTTTTTGCAGAAAAAGCAGAAAAACGCACGATACCTCTTGGTCGCTCCAAATACGGAAGTGCAGCCAAGTTCGATGTGACGATGTTCCGAAAGAAGAACAGCAGCAACGAACGCTATGGAACGATCACACTAACTGACGGCCACACACCACACTCAGCACAGACAGTCGACAAGACACCTGGAATTGATCGAAAGAAAGGCGATTCGCCCAACACTACGATACACACACACTACGATTTGCAAAAGTACGCGAACTTCCAACATCAAGGTACGTTTTAGAACACTAGCCGCATTGTGTGTGTGCGGGTGTGTTGTGGAAAATGTGAACATTTCATTCGTTAGAATTGTGTGAGACGCTACAATTTCGACGCATGAAGAGATTATCGATCGCTGGCAAGCTTTTACTTGCTCCTTACAGTGATCTGATGAAAATTATGGATTTCTAAATGGAATAGAAGAAGAATCGAAGGGATAAAGGATGCGACCGCTACGCAGACGGTGCCGGAGAGAGAATGCAAATAGCGGAGGTCAGCCGTGAGGCAGACATGACATAGCGAGCAAAGGCCGCGACGCAGTCGACGAGGCCGCGGCGAGAGAGCACGTGCACCGAGGAGGGCGAAGACGACGAGGGCAAGAGAGAGCGCGAGAAACGCAGAAACGCAGCCGGACAGGGAGCGAGAGTGCTTGCCGAGGCGGCACGTGTCTTCTCGTGTACAGACGTGCACCATAACGCTATCGATCCGAGTTGGGCAACGTGCCAATGCTCGGCTGGTCCCAGTGTGATAACAAGTGGAATTTTGCCAACAGTAATGACGTCACTGAAGAAGGGTGTTGTTGCCCGAAGGAACATCTGCAAGGGTTTTTTTTGACTTTTTTTTGGTAAACCTTGACTTTGTTGGTTCCATGAACTTTCCAAATTTTCCAGGATTTTCACAACAAGTCGAACAGCAAGTAGCATAGGGGGCATCTTGCGCTTCCCTTTCATTGGCAAAACAAGAATTCGTAAAACACCTTATTCAGTGTCTCATCTGGCGATAAGTTTGGGTCACTTATGAGTCGCACACAATTAACCATTGCACTTTTTATAAACGAGAATTCTCAAACTATCTTTCGGCTGTCAGCTGGCTGCAGGCACCTGCCTTCACATTTCGACTGTTGTTATAGCATGCATTTATCACGTCGCTATCAATCGATTCAGAATATCCCGCAGCAACCTTCTGTCCTTGCTTTTCTCAGAATTTCTTCCAGCTTTGCACATTTACGCATTCACGACGATACGGCCCACCGATGGGTCGTACGTGCACTGCCATATCGGACAATACGACCCACCGTTGCTTCGAATTTCTAATTGCTAGTTTAGGGAACTACATGGGATTTAGACAGGTGTTTGAAGAAATTTAGGTAGAGCTTCATTCACAAAGCTACATTTCGGACAACACACCCATCGGTCATTGGATCGGTAGAATGGTCTCGTTGTGAATGTGTCAATTGCTACCCAACTTACCAATTAATGGATAGGTCTTGCATGTTTTTTTTCACTCTGTTGGAACGGTTGTAGTGAGTGAAGTGGCGAGTTACTCTCTCCCACGGATCCTCTTCAGCATTTTTTTTATTAAGCTGTTGCAGTGTGCAAATAGCATGAGCTAAATGACTTTGTCGTGCTGTTGGTGTCATAAAAAATGCAATCAGCTCTATGAAAACGAGGCTTTGCCTCGGACAATGTCGTTTTTGTGTACTAGATATTTGACTGACGTACTTCATGCTATCAAATCAGCGTTCTCTGTTGAGTCTTAGTTCGAACATGAACGCAGTTTACTCGCCGACGCAGATTGCGCAGAATTGCGGTCATTGTGGCGGCGCGGTTGCGATGGCCTTGAGCCTCTGCACCATCGCTCTGGTTGCAGTCTCGTGCGTGACATCAATAATTCCAGCTTCTGCAGGTTACTTTCATCCATCTATCTATCTGTCCATCTGTCTAATTATCTAATAAAGAATCGTAAGCTGCACATTCAAATATATAAAGAATCGTAAGCTGCACATTTAAAAACCATTAAATAGAGGGAATCCGCGGTGCGGTCCCGAAGCGCGCGATTGCAGTCTAGCATCTTTCATTACTGGTTCACTTGTTCTTGAAGTATTTCCCGTTACATTTATTTTCTCGTTGCTCTTTCAGGTATCTAGCACGGTCTGTTTGTACTTTGTCACTTGCATAAACGTCTCCTTTCAATAATTTGACGGTTGATGAGGCGTCCTTGCTTTGCCGACAGCACTTGCACCCATAAAATTGCTATGCAGCGCCAAATTCGGAGTGCGCTCAAGAGCCGATTTTTACGCGCAGTTGTTGTGGACACCGCAGAGTCACTAGATCCTCTCGCGTCGCTAAACTAGCTGATCCTGACTTTGCAAAACGCGATTTCTTAGCGAAATTAACTAATTACGTAGCTGTATTATACTCTATCTAATCCGATAATGAAATGAGAAGTGCTTACGCGCTCACATAAAACACGACTGTTTCATCTTTTTCGATTGACCTTTGTGCTGCTTTCAGTTCGTTGGCCATTACGTTCGCTCATATACAATAAGTACACATAATACCCTGCTAAGCGCGCTGCACATTAGCATTCTGAGTCATCCACGTCTGTAGTGTCGTTTATTCAATGCCAAGGCCGATTGCTCACATATACTCTGTACTGATTTAGCTTCAAACGAGGGATGAACCGAAAACTCCAGTTAGAATACCCACTTCATCGCCTGGTTTACCTGGATGACGTAGAAGAACTTAAAAAGGTACTGGCTAATGAGGAAGTCGAGCTGGAAAAGTTGGATTGTCGCGGAAGGTGAGATTTTTTGCCTTCGTTTTTTTTTTTGATTTTTTTACTTTTTTGTACTGATTTTCTCCCAGTTTCGATGCTATTATTCCTTTTGCCGTTTTGTCACTTTATTTGGTAGTTCCAACAAATCGTTAGACAGACCGGCCTGGCCTTGGCGCAGTTTTCTTTCTTTGCAAGATTCTAATCGATAAGTTGCCTCACTAAAAGTCATTGCTATCTATGGCAGTAATGCTAGTTTCCAATCATGCCATGTCAGTGATTGTGCGCTCGAACAACTGAAAACATTAGAAGTAAAGTCTTACATAAAAATTGATGGAAGATGCACAGATCATTCCCTTCGAGAAATAGTCACATTTTTCGGTCCCTAGAGACGGTATTCTTCAGCCATTAAAGTGCGCGCAATCCGCGACGGATCGGATCCGTATCGAATCTAACTCAGATCTATGAAGTGTAATCGCTTTGTGAAAATCGCTCATTTGTTTTTCAGGACCCCTTTGATGCTAGCCGTCACATTAGGACACAAGCAGTGCGCAGAAGAACTCTTGAAAAAGGGAGCTGATGCAGATGCGCAAAATAAAGGTTAAACTTGTTTTTTGTCTCCATTGTGGGACGTTTGGTGGATACCAAGTGATTAGGGGATAGACGAGTTGTGGAATAAGGTTTATTCGCACGGGCGTAGATTATTCGAGAAGAGTGTGAGGTGTACCGGTGTGGACCGGGGAGCAACCTCTGATACATTCGGAGGCTCCTTATATAGGAAGGAAGGCGGAGCTGAACCGAGTAAAAGGTACAATGTACACGAGTTGGTGCTTGAAAGGAGATGCCGCCGATTGGCTACACTCCTGGCGCACGGGTACCACTCACTCTTGAGTGATTAGATACTCAAGAGTGAGTAGCTCACAATTTAGCCTACGGGTATTCCGTAGGCTATCTAGAATATAGAGTTCATCAATGGTTGATGATACAGAAATCATCAACACTCCGGGCGAGCGAGAGGAAAGTGAGATTTGGTAAGATCCTAATTAGAGTGGCAGATACTTGTGAAGTTGACTAGCGAATAAGTTAATACCTAGGCATACAGAAAAATGAGCTATGAAGGAGGATTTGCAAGTAACTTGAACATACACACAAGAGTACAATTAGTAAATTTATAGTGGAAAAGGCATCTGAAGTGATCGCTAGAGCTGGTGGCGGTTTGGCGCTGCTTGTCGTCCTCGCCATTTTCTCCTCTTCCACTTTGAATCGGTAGTTGCTTCGTTGACGACCATATCCTTGATAGACGGCGTTCTTACACGATGTGTGTACTCATAATGTCTTCTCTCCGGTGTGTTCGTCATCCTTATCTTGGCTTCATTGTTTGTGAACCGCTGCGGTAGCCATTCTATCCCATATCGGGGGCGGACATTGGAGTTCGTCGTGGAACGTATTGTGGCCAACCAACGTTGTCTGTCTGCTCGAGCTTCAGCGAGGATGGAAGCATTGACTGTTGACCTTGTAAAGGTGGATTGTCGGCTTTTGGATGAAGAACATGGTTGTAGCATCGTTCGTGACGGAATCGTTCTCCTTTGGATTGTTCCTTCATTTTGCTTTGGCAATAATGGCTTGTTGCATGTTCGAGTGTTCGCACTGTTGAAATGCGAGTACGCTTTGGGTTTCTTCAATCTCTCGTTGTGTTGTGAAGTTGGGCGGTTGTTCCTCAGTGTTTTCTTTAGCGCTGATATGCAGCCGAATGTGCCGATGAATCTTGATGTGGTGGTAGTGCCGCTCGTCCCTGATATAACGTATCCGAAGATGGTTGGGGTCAGAATGAGCCCTGAAGGAAGCTTGCGCTGTCGTTGTGGATAGTGACGAAGTTTAGGAGATCTTGTCCTATGATCATGTCGGGTGAAACGCTTTTGCAGGAGAGCGTATCTTGAGCGATTATCTTTTCATCAAAGATAAAACGCAAGTCTGCTTCCGTGAGACTTGCTGTCTGCATGTCGGTAGTCAGCTTCTGCTTAGTGTGTACTGACAAGTTCTTGAGCTTCTCGGAGCTGTGAAGACTTTTCAAGGTGATTTGTACTTCAGATGAGTTGAATTGCCCTTGTTGCTCGCCCATCCCAGATGTAGTAAACGAAGTAGTACGAAGGACTGGAAGCTTGAGTTCTTCACAAAGTCCTGATTTGATGAAACTTCGTTGTGCACCGGAGTCAAGTAGTATCGTTACTGGCTGGTAATCCCACTCTGCCTCGTTGAATATGGTTGCCGAAACAATTTGAAGAATGCATTGATCCTGTACAAGTGGAAGCACTTCGGGACTGTAGACTTCTTGTCGTGAGCCTTGTACGACGTGCGTAGTACTCTTCTCATGACGATCCTGACTGATGTCACGGGATGACCAAGGAGCAGGTGAATGTTGATCAAGTGCAGGATCTCGGTAATGTGTCGAGAATCCTCTGCGTTTTCCTGCTTCTGACAAGCAAAGAGATCCATGGTGTGATCCTTTGCATTTGGGGCACACGCCAAAATTCGTGCAAGCGTTAGAGTTGTGATCGCTTGCAAAACATCTCCAACACACTTCTTGATTTGCTGCTTCAAGTCGTCGGGCTTCTGGTGTGGTGTACCTCTGACAGGTGTGAGGAGAATGTGATTGTCCACATACACAAGTGTTTTGATTTCGAAAAGTGTTTTTCTCTATCGCATCTGCTAGTCTTTTCATCTTCTTGGTTGTTTGGGTAGTAGTTGGTTGGAAAGAGAGTTTCCGTCGTTAGCAAGATTGTCTCTCGCAGTGAAATGATGCTGTCGATGGTGTTCAGGATTTCGCTAACATCAAATGGATCATCTTGTACCGCTTCTTTCTGGATGGCGGTCGTACAGATGGATTCGGGAAATTTGGAAAAGATTATTCGACGCCAAAGTCTGTCTGCGTTCTTTATTGCTCCCGTTTGCTCCAGGTGAATGATCCTTGAGTTGATTGCTTCGAAAGTGTTTCGGCAACTTCTCGGATCATCTGAGGCCCTGGGTAGTTTTTCGATCTCGTTTATAAGTATATCTGCCATGTTGGCAGAGCGATCGAAATGTTTCTTCAAGATATCTATCGCTGTCTGATATCTTTCTCCGATGACGGGTATGCAGCTCAAGGTGGCTGCTGCTTTCTCCTTTAGTGCTTGCTTCAGAAAGAGGAACTTGTCAGTGTCGGATAGGTCTTCGTCGGCGTGGATGAGAGATTCAAACACTGTCCAGAAGCTGTTGAACTCTCTGAAGTTCCCTGAGAAGGTAGGGATTTCTAGCAGAGGCTTCCGGATTTTTATTTGCCTTTCGTTGCGCTGTGGGAGGCTGCTGTTCCAGGTCTGGCCTTCGTCGCTGGCTGCATGACTTGATGTGCTTGGCACACTGGTGAGCAATAATGCAGCTTGATCCTTCAGTTCGTTTTGACGGAACTGAACTTTGTTCTGCCACTGCACGACCTTGACTTCCAAATGAAGAGATTCCAACTCCAAGTGTTTGCTGAGTTCTGTTATAAGCTTGTCTCTCTCTTTTTCTTCATTTCGTGCTCCAATGTATTCGATCGCGGCGTTCACTTGTGTGTCTTGAAGTTTAACCGCATTTTGCAGAGAGTTGAGCAAATGCGTTATCTCTCCCATTTTGGTTTTGATGTACGTCTCGCATTCAGTCCTTTCTACGGGGAAAGTGAATGGCGTGTTGATTTCGTTCACTTCCGACTCGTACGACTTCACGAGTGCGCAGGCATTGTTGATTTTTGACTTGAAAATCTGGAGCGCTGCCATTTTCTGTTTTGCTGCCCGGGGTAGGGTCGTGCACTGATGTAGTGATTCCAAGCGTTCCAATTCGGACGTGTGTATCCTCCTTTTGTTGGTCGCTTTGGCTTGAGGGCGACAGCAGGGCTGGCCTCGATACGATAGCTGTCCTTACTAGTTGCAAGGAAGCTTTCTAGTGAGCTGGCAAGTGGGTGCCGAGCGTTTACTAGCTGTCAGCAAGCGCGCCTGGTTGGCTTGTACGCTGTACTGGACGGTAAGGTGTTAGAACCTGTCCCGTGGATGTAGCGATCCAAAGCTCAAGATCGGTGAACCGACCGTGAATGAGCTTGGAAAGCTGAGGTTTCTTTGCTAACTGTGATGAACCAGTCAGTCAGCTAGAAAAACCCTTTTGCTAAGCTATGGATATGACCTGATAGCTTCGCAAGATGACTCTTGTTTGTGAAAGTGGTGAACCAACAATCACAGAGTCTTTTTGGCTGGTTGAGGCCAAAAAAGTTCGAGGATTTCTGTTGCTAACTGTGGTGGACCAGTCAATTAGCTAGAAAAACCTCTTTGCTAGGCTATGGATATGACCTGATAGCTTCGCAAGATGACTCTTGTTTGTGAAAGTGGTAAACCAGCAATCACAGAGTCCTTTTTTGACTTTAGGAAAGCCAAAAGTTTCGAGGAGTTCTTGTACTAACTGTGGTGAACCAGTCAGTTAGCTAGAAAAACCTCTTTACTAGGCTATGGATATGACCTGATAGCTTCGCAAGATGACTCTTGTTTGTGAAAGTGGTGAACCAACAATCACAGAGTCTTTTTGGCTGGTTGAGGCCAAAAAAGTTCGAGGATTTCTGTTGCTAACTGTGGTGGACCAGTCAGTTAGCTAGAAAAACCTCTTTACTAGGCTATGGATATGACCTGATAGCTTCGCAAGATGACTCTTGTTTGTGAAAGTGGTGAACCAACAATCACAGAGTCTTTTTGGCTGGTTGAGGCCAAAAAAGTTCGAGGATTTCCGTTGCTAACTGTGGTGGACCAGTCAGTTAGCTAGAAAAACCTCTTTACTAGGCTATGGATATGACCTGATAGCTTCGCAAGATGACTCTTGTTTGTGAAAGTGGTGAACCAACAATCACAGAGTCTTTTTGGCTGGTTGAGGCCAAAAAAGTTCGAGGATTTCTGTTGCTAACTGTGGTGGACCAGTCAATTAGCTAGAAAAACCTCTTTGCTAGGCTATGGATATGACCTGATAGCTTCGCAAGATGACTCTTGTTTGTGAAAGTGGTAAACCAGCAATCACAGAGTCCTTTTTTGACTTTAGGAAAGCCAAAAGTTTCGAGGAGTTCTTGTACTAACTGTGGTGAACCAGTCAGTTAGCTAGAAAAACCTCTTTACTAGGCTATGGATATGACCTGATAGCTTCGCAAGATGACTCTTGTTTGTGAAAGTGGTGAACCAACAATCACAGAGTCTTTTTGGCTGGTTGAGGCCAAAAAAGTTCGAGGATTTCTGTTGCTAACTGTGGTGGACCAGTCAGTTAGCTAGAAAAACCTCTTTACTAGGCTATGGATATGACCTGATAGCTTCGCAAGATGACTCTTGTTTGTGAAAGTGGTGAACCAACAATCACAGAGTCTTTTTGGCTGGTTGAGGCCAAAAAAGTTCGAGGATTTCCGTTGCTAACTGTGGTGGACCAGTCAGTTAGCTAGAAAAACCTCTTTACTAGGCTATGGATATGACCTGATAGCTTCGCAAGATGACTCTTGTTTGTGAAAGTGGTGAACCAACAATCACAGAGTCTTTTTGGCTGGTTGAGGCCAAAAAAGTTCGAGGATTTCTGTTGCTAACTGTGGTGGACCAGTCAATTAGCTAGAAAAACCTCTTTGCTAGGCTATGGATATGACCTGATAGCTTCGCAAGATGACTCTTGTTTGTGAAAGTGGTAAACCAGCAATCACAGAGTCCTTTTTTGACTTTAGGAAAGCCAGAAGTTTCGAGGAGTTCTTGTACTAACTGTGGTGAACCAGTCAGTTAGAAAACCTCTGCTAAGCTATGGATATGACCTGATAGCTTAGCAAGACTCGTATTAGTGAAAGTGGTGGACCAACAATCACTAGAGTCGAATATTGGCTAATTAGTAGCCGAGAGTGCGAGGACTCTGTCGCTAACTGTGGTGAACCACTCAGTTAGCTAGAAACCTCTACTAAGTTGTGGATAGGACCTGACAACTTAGTAAGACTCTTGATCGCGAGAGTGGTGGACCAGCAATCACGAGAGTCGAATATTGGCTATAGTAGAGCCTGCCACGCGGGTCTTAGGCCTTGATTTCTCGTGTCCTTAGGAGGATTCGCCGAGAAATGCAAGGAAAATCACTGGCCGATGCACCAATTTGGTGGATACCAAGTGATTAGGGGGTAGACGAGTTGTGGAATAAGGTTTATTCGCACGGGCGTAGATTATTCGAGAAGAGTGTGAGGTGTACCGGTGTGGACCGGGGAGCAACCTCTGATACATTCGGAGGCTCCTTATATAGGAAGGAAGGCGGAGCTGAACCGAGTAAAAGGTACAATGTACACGAGTTGGTGCTTGAAAGGAGATGCCGCCGATTGGCTACACTCCTGGCGCACGGGTACCACTCACTCTTGAGTGATTAGATACTCAAGAGTGAGTAGCTCACAATTTAGCCTACGGGTATTCCGTAGGCTATCTAGAATATAGAGTTCATCAATGGTTGATGATACAGAAATCATCAACAGGACGAGTCTAATCTTCAAGTTGTAGAAATGTGGTCGGTGAGCCATGAAGCAATATCTTACGGCGATCCAGATATGGTAAAAACAGTTCTCATGCATCGTGATCATCAAAGAAGTGTTAGAGGAGCGCATGGTATGAAGGAAAGCTTGCAGACTTTGGCGGTATGTTGCAAGTATTTCATCGAAAATTTTACCATCATTGCTTTTTTCTAGAACTCTACCGATTTTTATTGTGAGATGGGTTGGGAGTTTGCAAGTTGGGTGCCCTTCATCAGTCGAATGTGCCCATCGGATACTTACAGGGTAACACTTGATTTACATATTATTTCAAGCTAAATTTGCTAGTTTTTACAGATATACAAACAAGGTGCAAAGGTCAGAATTGATACAACATTAGTAGGATTCGAAGCTTCAAGTTGGAAGAGAGGTAACCAAACGTATATTTTTCGATTAGAAGAGGATGGAGCTCCACAATTCATCATCATTGATCATGAGGCGAAAACTGTAGGTCTTTTGGTCATTTAAGCTTGTATGGTGATTAGTTCATATCTTATAGGCCAATGTGCAAACCCTGAGGGATGACGAGCCCCTGGATGAGTTCGCTCCAACTGAAAGTGCTGTAGAGTTGCGGTTAGTCTGGAAAAAAAAAGCTTCATCGATTTGATATCTTTTCCGTATCATTCAGGATGACTTCGCCGATATCGACTACCTTTATCGATGTCGATAAGATTGGGTTTGAGCGCTCTTACCGTGGTGGACTTCTTGGCTGGATAAGCAGCACAGAGAAAACGGAGACCATTGATGAGTACGAATGCAAGGTGCCCTCATATCACTCTCTTTCTTTTCTAATTTGTTTTTATTTTCTTTGTTTACCTACGCTTTCTTGCCAGGTCTTCAATGCCTCCAATGTGAATCTTGTCACTAAAACTAGGAAGGAACATTTGTCTGGAGAGGAGTCCAGTCGAGCTAGACAGGTGAATCTGCGTTTAGATTTCCTTTTGCCATTTGATCTTATCTCGTTACCTCACAGGAGGAAGGCTCAAATTTGCTTTCCAATCTGCTGAGTACAATCGTGAGAACTGAAACCAGTGAAGAATCCACCAGCGAAAATTTGGCTGATACCGGTCTAACTGTAGATGAATATTTAGACCCTGAATTTCCTCTTAATGGTGATATCGGTATGTACATTTATCGTCGTTTGACCCTTTAGTTTTTTACATACTTTTTTTTCAGGTAAACCAAAGCAGGTGACGAAGAAGTCAAATAATTTCAAAGCAACATTATGGCTAGCAGAAGATTTTCCCCTTTCATTCCAAGTGCGCATTACTGATTTATATTCTTTGATTTATGCAAAACAGCAAAAATTCCAAGGCTCATAATTTTAGGAACAAGTCATGCCTATAGTTGATTTGATGGCTGCCAACAGTGCACATTTTGCTAGGCTGCACAATTTTATCCGCATGCAACTCCCTGCAGGTTTTCCTGTTAGGATTGGTGAGATTTTCAAAGTTTTCGCAAAACCACAACTTTTTTACATATCACCTTTGCAGAAATTCCCTTATTCCATGTTGTGAGCGCCAAGATTACTTTTAGTCAAATTAATGAACCAGGACCGTTTGTAACACCCCTTGAGACAATGGTAAGATCGTTTTTTCTTGATTGATTTTGTGCAATGTTAATTTTAATAAATTTTAGGCCAACTTCAAAGTCACTGCGGTTGCTATCGAGGATGACCTTTTCGAAATACCTGCGTCTTATCGAACAATCGACGATTTGAATACAAGTCTATGGTGGCCAGAAGATGAACAAGATATGTCCAATCTACATGGCGGTGCTTCCCCGATGTGTAAGGAATAGATCTGTTTTTTTTTCATATCTACAAAATCCATTATTTTTTTTCAATTCTTTTCCAATATGATCTTTTGAAGACCATCCTTCGATGCAACAGCAAGAAGAAATGTTATTGCAACTTGCGATTCAAGAAAGTTTTCGCACTGGTGAAAATGCCGGTTCTGGAGCAAGCTTAGGTAAGTTTCTTAATGAAACTATCATCAGTATTTTTATACATTTAGGTCCATTGATACCCGATGCTTTACCTGTATATGACGAAGAAGCCGAAGAGCAAAGGCAACTAGCTGTGGCTATCGAAGAGAGTTTACGAACATCTGGCTTACCTCCAGCCGCTGCTGATGCGGCTCCGGAGGAGGTAACTCAACACTATTATCTAATTTTGTTTTCCATAATTTGTTCGTGATTTTAGGCCGAGGATAGCCTTGCCCTGGCGTTGCGGCTTTCACGTGATGAAGAACAGAGACGACGAGAGGAAGCTCAAAAGGAAGAAGAAGAGCTCCAACGTATTTTACAACTTTCTCTAGTCGACAAATAAGGTCTAATTTTTCTAGTCTGAATTATGACATATTGTAAGTAGTTAACTATCGCACAAGCTTTCCTTCACCTCGGCTCAATAAGTTCTTGGTCACTAATGGCGTACTACTTGTCCTACCTTACTCTTCGCTGTAATGTTTTTTTTTGTTGTGTAGTGGCTTTATCTATATCTAATGAGAAAATTCTATCCCCTAGATCTCTTGCAACTTTTCACTATCCAAATGAAAACTATCTGACAACATAATCTTTTGTCTCAGCTGAAATCCCCGGTATGGCTCATGGAACAACTCTATATAGTCCCAGTTATCTGTGCTTTGGTGAACATTACTACATCATGATGGGTGTGCTTTTCCACTACTTCAAACCTGTACAAAACCTTGTAAATAAAAAGTAATTGGTGTGTTTTCACTACAATTTGGATAGCAGATCATAAGTATTATCACTGGATGGCAAACTTCAATACTGTGCCATATACAGCCGGCACTTTCTTCGTTGTACATTATTCTGCTGTCAATGTTACCGTAGACAACATGCATATGTAAGCATGACCTGCTTCGATTTAAGCGTCTTTATTGTCCAAATGTGTGTTGACTTATTCTGCCTCGCCCTCAATCATAATGGTGGCCATAGCTATAAAACTACTCTAAAAATTCACGGCAATTTACCCTGTCTAGGATAAAGTTGTCTGAAGAAACCACTATTCTGTATCATTGTTCAGAAGTTCTATCAATTTCATTGGTTTTGCCCGGAGAAAAATTGAAAAAATTGAAACGTGTTCCAGACACTGACAGCTATAAGGCACCTCTTGTGCTTGAGCAATACTATATTCTTAGACCTAGAATTTTTTGCACAGTTATAGCATCAAAATATGGAACATTTGTTACACCTGGGAGTTGCAGCCTTTCAAACAGAAAATTTATACTGCTTTTTTGCTTCAAAATGCATAAAAAGTCACATTTTTTCAAAGTCTGCTAGTTCATTGAGTTTTCAAGCACTTATCTGACTCGTATGAAGGTATTAGGAAATACTGAGCCTTTGCAATGAATGCGGTGAAGAGAGTTTAAGTCAACTTCGCGAAGTCGCTGATGTTGATGAACGAGCCTTAAAATTATCATGGGTGTAAGCACGCTTTCGTGCCAAAAAGTTCGGTTTCTGACGCGCGAAATTTTCTAGTCCGAAGTTGACACTCTGTCTGCATTACGACGTGTTTATGCAAAAATATCAAAATTTTCGCAGAGACGCAACTGCAACGTTGGAGTCAAAGGCAGTGTCCAGGAAGTCTGGGCACATAGGTCTTTCGCCTGGAAATGATAGGGGGTCCTAACTAGGGCACTGCGCAAGCGACAGCGCAAAGGATTTATGTACAGCTGAGGAATCTATCCCCAAACCCTTGGGGCCTGCGCCGGACCGTAACCCAAAATGATTTCGCTCGCTTCAAAATTACGTTCGCGCTGGAACCCATGTTAGGCCACTCGCGAGTTACGGTCACGGTGCCTGTGCGGAGGATTTGAGGACGGTTGTGAATGAATCAGTTATTGTGCCACTTGGGCAGTGGCATAGTTAGGACCCCGTTATCAGTTTCCAGGCGAAAAATCCATGGGCCCAGATTTGTTTGGACACTGCCTTAAAAGCTATATCTGCAGTTCAGTTGTGCGCAGTGAATCTAATGTGTTGGAATAACTCTTTGCCTATATACATGAATCTTGGCTTCACTGTGATTCGGTGATTCACGACTTGTCGTCCTAACATAAAGACAGATAAGGGGGCCTCGAACCGTTGTCTTGTACCTCAAACTTGAGTAATTAAACTTCATTTGTTACTAACTAAACAACGAAACAGCAACAACGAAATACATGTGAAATTCAACATAGAACCTTGGAATGATGACATGAATGAAGGATCATGGAATTCCTAAGCATGACAACATACTGACATAGAGGTATGAAAAACAGAGCCTAGGATAAGAACAAAGAAACCTGAGACATGATGAAAAGGACCTAAAGGGTAACAAACGGCTCAGTGCCCGGCAAAATGATAAGACTAATCCGTCGATAATCCCGCTCCCCTTCTACAGCGGCGGATCAAACGTCGACCTACGTTGATCGGGTGATGCGATCCAGCATATCTAACGTGACTCCAAATACTCCTTTCAACTCCTCATCAAGTCACTTCCTAGGGAACTGTTTAGAATTTCAAAGTTTTGAGCGGCTTTCAGTCCGATCGAATGGTTTAGAGTGGGTCTCGATTACGCAATGTGCGTAACCCATGTTTGAAGGAACGGCGCTTATGCCGAATCGGAATTTCGAAAGTTGCGATGATGTTTGGCAATGGACACAAGTTTATGTTGTACAGGCGACCTACTGAGCACATGACAGAGCTTTTCGGACCTCAGAACTGAAATTCTGTGGTTTTAAGGCTTGTCTATCTGAAGGTGAGGTTGAGGCTCTTTCATCTCACATCTCTTTTATCTTGTCAGCGACTACGCAAAGTTGACTTTGCTCTTCACCTCAACAAATCCTAATGCCTCCATCCGAGTTATATTGCATTCCCATTATTGTTTTCTAATCTGAACTATCAACGTGACTGTCTTTTGATGTTTTAACATGTCAGGTTTAAATGAGCGCCTTGAATTTGGTGGAGTTAAGACGACGAAGTGCTTGATAAGCTTCTGACTCAGTACATAGAAATCAAGGAGGTTGACATATTGAGCAGTCGCGATTTCGAGCAAACAGGGGAAGAATGGCAAACGACAAAACTCTGAGCTTCATTTACTATAACCAAAGGAAAACGCTGCTTTGCCCGTCATATGCAATATTCCATCTTACATTCATCTGCTCTCTTCTTGCATAGCAGTTACCATTTGGGCTGCACCCAAAGCACCATCCTGCTCTTCTGCTGACAGAACGTCCACTACGGGATGTAGACGAATGGGACTCTTCTATAATTAGAAGTTGTATGTTTTGATTTTGCTATCAAGCTCTAGTTCATTTCTTCTGCTGGCCGGAGTGTGCTAAATGTAGTTGCGCCTTCTTTATTGCGTAAGTCATTAAAATCATGATGACGGATTTGACTCAGTCTTTGCGCCCACAGGAGCATAAAACGCTCATGCAAAAATGCATCACTTCAGCGCTAAGCTTAGTCACTTCCAGTGTTGAAAACTACCATACCTAAGCAGAAAATTATTCAATTGAGGTGAAAATTAAAAAAGCGCGTTTGCCGGAGTGAGTGCGTGTCGCGAGCGGCCGCGCGGTCGCGCTATCGTCACGATTTTTCAAATGCCCTATACACTATCCTGCTACCGAATTACCGTAGAGGTTACGCATAAGCGTGAACTGCTCTGATATACATACAGGGCATTAGAAAAATCGACAATCGACACGCACGCACTTCCGGTTTTTCTTGTTTTTGCTCCTATTCGACTAGTTTTTCTGCTCACATATGATATATTTGGACACCGGAATTGACCCAATTGAGAAATGATGCGTTTTCGTATGAATGTTTTGTGCTTCGCTACTTTGTTTTTGCAAAGAACCGCAGTCAAATCCGTTGTCACAATTTCATAAATGGCCTGCATCTTTATTGCCTAGATGTGTGTTAACTTATTCTGCCATATCTAACAATTATAGCATTCTAACACTGCTCCGATGCGAGCTAGTCGACTTCTTAATGTGCTAGGCTATGTCTGTGCACATTTAGAAAATAGACCACAAAGGCAACAACTACCCCTAAGGCCGTGAAATCCGTTAGCCTGACAAGTACGACCGGAAACTCAAAAGAGATCCAATCTTCGTATTCTCCGTTCTAGTCGTTCAAAATTGTTTGTTTATGTCCGCAGATTTGCAAAGAGTGTGAAATATGGCGAATTCTCATGCAGCAATAGGCGAAAGGTAAGGTGCACTCACCCACTTTTTGCTCGTGCTGGCACCAGAACTGGCCACAGCACCTGCTTTCTGTTTGCAAAGCGAAATTAATTATTGCCTTTCCTGCTACATCCACGGCCATTGCTCCAGTGCGCCAATATTTTGGTATTTTTCTGAGAGGATGAAAATATTCTGAACAAAAGTGCAGTCAAACTTACCCCTTATTCGATTACATTTCTTATGCTCAGAAAAGGATTTATTGACCTCCAACTGCTTTGCGGGTGTGGTGCGGAAGGCGGCAATCCTCAAATTTTGTGCCTTTCGAAACTCGTCGGTGTTAAAGTGGCACGGGGCCAAGGTAGGGGGGGGGGGGGTAGGGGGCGGGGGTAGATACATGACTCGATGCCACCAGTGAAATTCTGTAAAAGTTAGTAAGAGCGATTTTACACTGCTTGCATTTTCCGCACATTGTCGCCTCAGTTGTTACAGATGGCCGCGCTGCCTTTACCAGTGCTCTGAGCGCGTTTACCAGCGCTCTGAGCAGCAGATTCTCAAGTTCTAATTAATTATTTATTCAGTCATTGGTACGCTCATAGGCGCGCTCCAAATCAGCAGTTCCCGACTGAAAGTCCATCTGTTGATTGTCTGCTCCTTTCGCAGCAGATGACACTTCCCAAATTCAACGATTAATTGGACGTTGGTCATAGATTTTTATCTCAAAGTAACTAGAGAAAAAGAATCAACACTTCACCGAATATCCTAGATTTTTTCTTAGTTGCTCTTTTGCGAGAAAAGTTTATTCATACAATAAACTGAACAATAACTTCAGTCTAATGTGTTGCCCGCCATTTAGCTTCAAAACAGCATCATATCTACATTCAAAATCAATTCACTGTCAATTCATGCGTCTGCCCAGTCATATCTACATCCAAAATCAATTTGCGGTCGATTCATGCATGTGTCCATGCGAAAGTTTCATTCCGAAAGTTTCAATCAAAATATTTTTTGTGATCTCTTGCCGATATTCGTACCAATCTGAAATTGATTTCGAGATTCGCTTCTAATGTATTGTTCATATCTCGCAAATTGTTGCACAGTAAATCTAAAGACCATTTCCTAACACAACAGTATATATACTCGAGAACGGAAGCTATGTTTCTCTCCTTCTCATTTGAGCTTGAGGAGCCTTGTTGTTATTGTTTGGTTCTGCTTTTTGCACCGCGTAGCTTCTTCATCTCAACTAAAATTTGTACGGTCAACAAAATCGGATTACTTCAGCTTGTCCGACTGCGATTGTGGATGCTTCGCAGAGGCACTTAGTTGTGAGAAGATACCACAAGTATGTTTGATACGCACAGATGATTGCATAGGTATTCCGCATTTCAGCTGCTTTGTTGCCTCCTATGAAGAAAGTCAGAAAGCTCTCCACAACTATAGTGCCTGTTTTTCTAATACTATCGTTGTACATGTATCATCATTACAATGAAGTAGCTGAAGAGATATCTGTACCTGCTGAGTGGACGCACACTCTTTCCCAAGATACGTTTTAATTGGCATTATTTGCGGGTCAGGTAGAGAATGCGCAAGAAAGGCATTTCTGGAGATACGAGGGTGTATATAATTATGAGAAACGAAGTTGTGTGACGAACAGAAGCAAGCATGATATCTTTTTCCATAATATGAAAATATAATGACAACTGACCTTTGAGCAGCGACGGAGGAAAGGGAAATATCATGACTTTGTTTCTATGCCAGGCTAGTCGCACCAGGAATGGTGCCAGAAAAACAAATGGGGACACTTTTATTGAAGAATTTTTTCTAGCAATTATGCATTGATTCTATTTTTCTTTGATTTACAAACCAAATTCGGTGACATATCAGTACTAAGCTGCTTGTTGTGAATAAGTCATTCAACAGCCTCATGATTTTGTGTTCGAGAATGTAAAATATGGTTCTGGTTTGATTGCTCATAAATTGAGTATACACGCTTGCCAACAATCAATATATGGGCTCATGGGTGCGAACGACCTATTTCCATCAAATAACCTCATCACAGTCACAAGCTCGATGCGTTAGTAATCAAGCTATTTGATGGTCATATCTCGACGCAAAGTTGAATTGAATGAACTCTAAATTACACAAGAAGATGGCGGAATTGGACCATCAGTTGAGCACATCATGGGCTGCGTACCACATTATGACCAATTACTCCGGCATAAGCAACTGCGAACAGGAGATCGCGGATGGAATGCAACATCCCTTTCGCTGATCGCTGCCTATGACTATGGAATTTATTCTGTGGTTACTACCGAAGCAGATGGCTGGTTTGGGTAAGTACAACCTCAAGTGTAAATCCTGACTCGGCTCTATAAAATCAAAGTTTACAACACCATACTTCAAATGATCTTCCGTGCTGCACTGTGATCGTGATATATGTTCGTGGAAATCATAATTTTCTGACACCTAGAAGAACGATGTACTGCCGTTACTTCGACGAAAGCGGCGTGGAAACTTTTCCTGCCACCGAATCATTTGTATTTCCCGAGTTTGCTGTACATTGTTGTAGCCGCAACGGTACGAAATTCATGAGTATAACCGAGTTTCCATCGGCGAATGTTACGGAGCTTGTTCGTATTCTGGACAGGCGTTTTGATGGTGAGTCTTGCCCCTTTCAACTTTATCAAAGGACCTACAGTGAGCATTGGTGGATGCTAAAGTCGATCGTAGACTACGAGAAAGTTACACTGCTCACAAGTATTAATTTTTGGGAATCCCTTGCTATCATATGTGCACCCGTGGCTAAACACATTTAATCGATTAAATTGCTATTTTCTTTCAGTAAATTTTTGTTATCAGCACAGAGCCTGTACACTTCCTTTCGATTTGTCTTGCGCCAATTTACGGAAGAGAAAGAAAGTGGCTTTTTATCGTGGAACTCATCGAGTACTACGTGTTGCAAGGAGTTGATTATTTTTACTTGTACATAAAGGATATTGACAACTATACAGCGAAAGTAGGTCCACTTCTTTGCGCTTTGTAAAAATATAAACTTGGGGGGGGGTTAAATTTTCACAGAAGATGTTATTAACAGCGAACCAACGAGGGAAGAAGGGGCGGGGAGCGGAGCTCAACCATTAGAGAGTCATAATTTTTTTAGCAGACACGGATTATGTGAAAATGATTTGTTTTTACTTGCAAAAGATAAGGATATTTTTTGATAATTTTGGAAATTCGAATTAGCCCAAAGCGATTTTTTCGGAGGACGTGAATAACGCTACGCCCCGTTCAAAAAAATCTTTCAAAAAAATTCTTGGTTTTTACTGGTTCATTATCAAAAGTGTTTTTGGAAGGCGTGACTAATATCACGACTCTCCATACATTCCTCAAATTTATAGAGCTTATGCATAACGCAACACTTTTTATAGTTGATTCATTACTATGAGAAAAGCAGAATAGCAGAAGTAGTTTTCTTTCGAACGTACAACGACAGACCGGGAAAGGAGTGGCAACTTGTTGGTACGGAAGTACGTGGAAAAGTGCTCGAGCTTATTCTTTTTTTTTCATCGGGCTGATTTTTAGGATTGCTTACAGCGCAGCCGACACCATTCTCGTTTTGTGATATTTCAAGATTTAGACGAAAGAATATATCCGTTCGGTAATGAAACAGTGCGGAGTCTTATCATGTTAGCAATCCATTTAACGACTCTGGCTTTACTATAGTAATTTAAGAGACAAAATGCCACCAAATTCATCAATAGCTATGCTCTCTATAACTTCTCGACGTATAGAAAGGGCCTATGCGTTGCCGCTGGAATACAATGTTAGTTGTTTTTGTCATATCAGCGATAGGTTTGTGGCCATTGTAACAATCTATGCAGATAAAACACCTAAATATGTGCATAGAGTCCCTAACATGCTTGTAGGGCAGTGAAACATTGATGCTTTACCTACCTATTCTCGTTTTCCATAAGTCTCATTTGAAGAATTGGATCATTTTTCCTCCAAAATGCGTGATTGATCCTAGGAAGGTGAGAGTCAATGTTAGCTCACCGTACTCGAAGCTAATTTGCTCTATAGGTTCTTCTAATGTGGGTACATCATGTTGTGCTGTATTTCCCAGGATACAAAGGCATCAGTTTGCCTGCCAGCAAGGCTGTCGTAAGGTATCAGCAATTTCAAAAACTTCGCTATTGTTAGAAAGCGGTTTTGAGGCATTATCGTGATTTGACACATGCTGAACCTGCTCGGAGGTACAAGTTTTACAATGAATGGTACAAGTACGGAGACGTGCATTATCCGTCCAAGCTGATAATAGCACTTTATCGTAACATCTACAACACTTTGAATCGTGTTTATGGAGTGATGGACTACTTGGAAGATTTTGAAGAAGACCTTGCTACCATTACATAGAGTGTTATTTACGCATCAGCCTCACCGCCTCTACCTCAAAGAAGTCGCAAAATTACGATGTAACATGATGATCTAACGTATGATCTAACGTAGACATATTCGCTTCTAAAAAGATTTGATAAAAACCCACTTCAGAACAGTTGTTCGCAACTATTATAGAATGCACAGCTTTTAACATTCAATTATATCTCGGATAATCGCTCGGGGCAGGCGAATCGCAAACCATTCAGATTTCGGGCGTAGCCAAACCTTCAGAAGGCATTACTTAATCAGTGTCACTCTGCCGGCGGAAGCAATGTTGAACCCTAAGACCGCTTGTCGAACATTCCTGATTTTCTTTTTTTTCAAATTTAAATAATAAACAACTCTTCTTGCAAACGTTAAGCGTTTAATCAATAAGAAGGCAACTTTTACAAACAAGCAATCATCTTCTGTGTTTCTGGTGATCAGATTTTGAGAAAACGGGATTCTCTACTCGCACATCTCCCATTGCTAATACATTTGAAGTTAAGCTCATGTTCTATTTTAGACCTTCGACAGTTGCTCAAAAGTTAAGCAACATGTCCAGGTAAAAAAGCTTCTGTTTTTCGAATTCAATGTGATTTTTAGCCATTGATTTTAATGTGAGCCGAATTTGGTCTAAGTTCTCAGAAAGTCTAGGCTCTGAATAAAAAAGCCACATTGACTTCTTTCTCTCTTAATTCAATCAATCTAAAGCGTTTTCCAAAAAAAGGCATTTCTATAGGAGCATAATCAAAGCTACTACAAAGTGTACACATAGCTTTTCTATCGTAGAAACTCAAAAATCTTGACTACCACCTGCCGTTACAGGATTCATGGGTAAAGTATGGTACTGGGATTGTGTTCTCTCGCTAAATTTTCAAAATCTCATTTTTGCGGCTATGAAGATGAACACTTTGCCATAGTGTGAAATTGCTGTTGCATAAGGAGTCCAAATATCTGACAATAGTATCTCGCAAGAGGGCTTTTCAGCATAGTCTCTCACATGGGAATCTGCTTTTTTCGCTCGTTTAATGTTGTATTCTTCGCAAACCTTTTCGGCAAAGGCTTGCGTTCCACTCGGAATCTGAGTACTCATGCTTGACTTTGCTTATTTTTCTATAACGTACATTTTTAATATCTGGTCTGTTAACATACTTTGTTTCATGTGTGATGTCGTGATAAGATATTAACATGCAACTCCTGTTGGTACTGTAAGTCAGTGATAGCTGAAAAATTGACAATCACGCAATTAGTCTAGTAACTTCGAAGAACACTGGACTTCGTTTTCAGGACAAAATGCAAAGGAGGTATCGTAAAACACACTATGCAGCACCAAACAGAGACAGGTAAGACAGGTAAGTATAGAAACAGTTACTACGCGATTGGCATGCTCCACAGTGTTCTTTCGCGAAGCGCGCGCCGTTTCATTACAACTCTGAAGCAACAAACGCTTTCTTGCACCACGGAAAAAGCATATGACACCAAAGTTGTACTGTATCTGTACAGTGTTATTTACGGAAGCTACCGTCGATTCGTCAAGCGCAGGATTTGCTTAATCGTAACGGAACACGGTGCGGAGCCGCTGAATTGTTGAGAGTACAATTAGAGCACAACTTATATACAATGGCGAATTTGTACTGGGTCATGAATTTTACCTCGCGCGGCGCGCTAGGCAGCGAAGTTCAATTTAGATTTATTAAATTCTAGTGGTAAAGAGACTTCATTTTTTGAACCCTTGCGGACTCGTACCAAGCCTAAATCGAAAAAGCAATTACTCAGAGAAATTGGGATCATGTGTATATTTTGAAGTAAGTTTTTCATTCTAGTGTTTTTTGGGCATTTTTTTCCGAATTCGTTAAGAAGAAATCCTCGTTAATAATGTGCTCCGAACTTCTTGTAACATCTGCTCAGGGCCCGACACAGATCGAATAGAAGCAGGCCGGACTTCGTTTGTGTGACAAAGAACAAAGGGGACATCGTTTTTGCAGGATCCAAGCGGAGCCTCGGAAAATTTTTTGTACATGCATCCTTATCGAAGCATACCCTCGATACATAGAGCCACATACTCTGGTAACCTTCACTTTGAGGGCAATGAGGGGACACAACCTTCACCTGGGAAAAAAAACAGAAGTCATCCGGGGCTTCGCCCCGCATGTTATTATCCTGACTATATCGGAAGAATGTGAATGAACCAAATATAGGAGAGAATATCTGAAGAATATCTCAGTGAAACAGAGAAATTGCTTTTTAAAGCCTCTTTTTACGCTGAAAAGAGAATTTCTGTGAGAGTTTCCTCAGAATTTAGGACAACGTTCCCCAGTTAGCCTCTTACTTGACCAAAAATAAGTTTCAAAAGTTTGGGAAAGCTGTTGGAGTTGAATTAAAACGAGAAACTGCGCTTAAATGTGCGCAGAGAGTCGCGCACGAAAATGCTGGTCTATCTCGTTAATGAGTGACTTTCAAAGCCTGGGACGTTGTCAGCTCTCCTCGTCGTGCCATGACGATCAGAATGATATATAATGTTACAGGATTTCGTTGAGACCCCGACGAGATCTACGACCAGAGCCAAATGCCCCGTCGGCTCTGGTCTGTCTCCGCTGCTCGTCTGCGTCTCCGCGCGCTGCGCGCTACCTCGCTACCCCAAACGCGGGGCGCGGGGCATTTGGCTCTGGTACCCTTTTCTCCGCTGTTTCGAATCCAATTTTAGCAATCTATATATCGTTTTGAAGCTTTTGATTTCAACTTTTACGCTGACAACGTCCCAAAATCATATTTCTCGATTTGAACGAGAAATCCGGCAAAAACCTTGTTTTCGAGAATCTCTTGTTTTTCTTCTAGTTTACCTCTTTTCACGCGGTTTTTTCGTGCATTCTATAGAACTTGCTTCTGTTCACAATGCAGACAACCACCCAGCCTTTATTTCTTCGATTATTGTGGAATTTTTTGCGAAAAATCGTAAAAAGTTCGTTTTTCTTTATCTTGTTCTGTTTCAGTGCTTTCGCATCGATTTTTTTCCAGCTTGGGCGATTGTTGCTCAGAACAATAAGCGCAACAATCCAGACAACATCCCAGGAAACAGGAACGTCAATGAGGGGGTAAAAATTCAAAGGACGCATCAAAAATCAAAACCCCGTGAAGCGAAAACTTGCACCTTGGAAAGCCGCCTAATGAAAGATTTCAAGCCTCATTGCAACGTTTTTATCCGGTTTTCAGCAGTTTCTTTTACTTTTTATATATGTTTTATGTCATTTTCTCTTCTCCGATCTTCTTTAAACAACCTTCACTAGTTATGACGTCAGATGTTCAAACAACCTTCATTTTTGACGCCCTGTCTCTAGGCTATCGAAGGTATGTATCGAAGTATGTGAGGGGAAGATTGCACACACAGAGTGCAATACAATCAACACACTTCCTGTAGTACCAAAAGCGAATGCTCACTCAAGCACAAGCTTCAAAGACCGCGCGATTTGATAGTACAGCCAAGTTTAACAAGTGCTTGTCTAAATCGCAGAGACAAGTATATGATACCACATTTGGACTGCATAGAATATTATTTAGGGAAATTATGTGAAAATTATGTAAAGAGTTTTGGAAACTATCTAAAATAATACCTTTCCCAAATTAATCGGTTTTGAGACGGCCATCACAGATCTGAGATGGTATGGAGCATATTTTGTGAATTCACATAAGTTTTGGATTTTTTTATCATGGACGGATTCCTCGGTCAAAAATCCGTCTCTGGACATAAAGACATTTTCGTATCGTTGCTTTTCTTTGTTTTTTTTTTGCTTTAATTCTTCCAAACATCGATTAAATGTCTCGCTTCAATGCAAAACTCTTGTGCATGCGTATTACTCAGTTCCGCTATGCATTTTCACTCTTATTTCGTTTTCTTTTCAGACTAGTGTTTGTTTTGTTTTCATATTCTCCTAAGTCGATAAGTATCCAATAAGGGTCAAAACTGAACTGAATGAACTTACAAGGGAACGGTGTCGAGTCGAAGTGGCCTTTCCAGATGGGACCCATACTGCTTTGAAGAGCATTAATCGATGATTCCAAATCTGCTTTCCAAATCTGCCAAGCGCCTCTGAACGCCGAGTTATGCTCGTTTTTCAGGTCAAAAAATTGAACGCAAAACTGAAGCAAAATCGCCCAAATTTGCTTAAATGCTGTCAAGTATCAAAGCTGTTCATGCAATGGATATATTTTATTCAATATGCTAATACTTAACATTGCTTTATCTAAGCCCTGGAGAGATTGTAACAATCAATTTTACCTAAATTCTGCATTCATTTTCCGTTCCGAAGAACGGTCATAACTCGGCGTCCAGAGGCGCTTGGCAGATTTGGAAGGCAGATTTTTAATCACCGTTTAATACCCTTCAAAGCAGTATGGGTCCCATCTGGAAAGGCCACTTCGACTCGATACGGTTTCCTTGTTAGTAGAATTTTCGAAAGTTGGAGGGGGCTTTGTTTTCGGATTTTAGAAACGGCTCGTGCCGGGCCCTGAACCTGCTCAGCTTTTCAATGGAGTGATGATCTCGAGCGTTATTGGATCTCCTCAAAAACATATAATTTTGAAGATATTACTACATACCTTCAAAAGAATGCTGAGCAAAGTTGGAAAATCACAGCTTGGAAACCAGTTTTTTTGCGTGACTCCGAACGAATGATGTAAACAGGATTATGCATAATTTGCAAAACACAGTCACCTTTTAACACGGAAGTCGGTCATTCACACAGAACAAAATTCTTTGTTCTTTCCTTTACTCATCTGATCTTTGGCACTATCGCGGTCCATAAATGACCATTCGTTTTTTATTCATAACTCTTCTACTGTTAGTGCTATTCCTAATACATTTTACTTATGTAAGTTATCTAAGCCTATTTCAAACACTGGAACTTACTAAAGAATATGGTTTTGTATGGAAGCAAAGGTGGGTTGAATATGTCTATAATTGTCTATGCGTCTCCAATTACTTCTCAGTGATTTAGAGAAAGCAGTGCAGAAGTGGCAGATCAAATAGATCATGAAGAAAGCAGAGAATCAGTTATAACAGATTATGTCAGTTTGCCGATTTTGCACTAGACTTGTTTTCTATACATAATGTTAACTACTATTAGGAGAAGGAGCGCCAACAGCTAGAGTTGTTTGCGGATGTGGAGCGCTGGTGCAGTGCTACGAACTACACAGGTAAACTCACGATGTCTAACGATTGAACAGTGCTTTTGTTTGAGAAAGGATTTTGTTAGAAAGTAGAATTATGCGGGAGCGATAAGCGCTCAACAGACAAGAAAACTGTTTTTGTTGGAAGTGGTCTTTTCAGATGAGTTTGATACCGCTTCGGAGAGCATCGAACCCTGACCCCCAATTTTTCCTTATTATCTGCTCTGCTTTTCTGACAGAATTATGAGCGTTTTTAGGGCTTGGATGCACAATTGACACCAAATTATTCAAAAGGCTTAGTGAGCCAGTGTCAAGTATGAAGGCCTTTATGCGATGTGTAAATAACTTCTGTCTAACATACTCATGTTCAATAATGATCTATTTGAGCGAGGGAGGGAAACAAATATCAATTTGTTCAAAATATTGCGCCTACGCCTATATTACTTTAGAAAATGTTCAAAACTCGGCTTTCAAAGGACCGCAGCAGATAATAAAGGTAGATTTGAAATCAGCGTAGAGTGCTTTTTTAAAATGTCGCACATTAAACCTGAAACAGCCACTTTGATTAGAAACGCTTTTCTCCTTAGCTAAAACAATCTTTGGAGCATCAAATCAATGTATTCAAGCTCAATGAAACAACTGCGATAAATAATCCTAATACCAGTGTAATTCGGATGGTTGTTGCTTTGTACAGAAAAGAACGAATTTCCTTGAAAGTTCAAGAGCTAAAAACGCGTAACATTTCAATCGTCATTTGGTTCAGATAAATCTCAACTTCTGATGCCATGAAGATTTTACTCTCGTTATTCCAGATGGTTCAAAAACAATCAAATTACAGAAAGATTTGTCAACTCCTGCTAGTGAAACATTTTTAGACCACAAGACGCTTCCGTCTCCAATTGAGCTAGCCAAACTTCACAAGAAAGAAGACATCTGGGAAGAACTTGCGAACACTGTAAAATCTATAGATAAGACGATTGGATGTGAATCATGTGGATACAGCAAATTTGAGGCACTCATCATTACCAATAATTTTCCATGGCAGTCCTCTATTGGCTTACTGCAACGTATGTACCAGCCATATTTCAAAACAACCGTGTTTTGTGGAACATTCTACCCGGCATTATATCTTAGGAACGGTAAGTGAAGATAAGGCTGTAATTGTGCTTCCTCTTCACAATTTTTAGATGGATTCCCTGCCATATTAACACCATTCAATCATATTAACCTTACTGAAGAAGAAGTTCATCAGGGATTTTTCGTGTATCTGTGTTTAGTGAAAGCTAGCTACCTAATGAGAACTGAAGTTGAAGGTGCCCATTGCTTTTGTACCGCTTCACACTCTACTTCAAATAAAAATTAGAGGATTCTTCGTGATGTCCGATGATGCTACCTTCAATTTTTGGCACACGATTGATTTGTACCAGGTGTTTCATCCAACTGGAATTACATACGAAAGTTATAAAGGACTGTGGTGGCCCAGTCCTTACGGTAAGCGAGTTCATGCTTCAAAATGGTCTCACTGATTTGTTTGCCAAAAAAACCTCTGCGCGCTGATTACAGTATGGCCATACTGCATCGCGGCCCATTCACGCATCCACTAAGCGCGCAATGGTTTTGACCAGTGTTGACTAAGGTCGCCTCAATTGCAGCATGGTTATAGTCTGAGTTTGAAAAATAACTAAAGGTATAATAAATTTATTATACAGAAGTAAATCTAATTATCGGGTAGCCACGCATTCTGAACCCTCTCCTGCGATAACGTTTTACGCTCTTCAATGCTGCTGATGTTTTGGCACCCTCATCTCTGTCAAAACCTGGAAGTTTGAACCACAGATAATGCAATCGTATTATAAATGGCATATCCAACCGCATTGCGTGCAAAAGATCGACTAAGAATGAGGCGAGTAGAGTAACACAAGCACTCAACGTGAAACATTAATGATGACAAGACAACGCGTAGCGATTACTATCACTGACCACTGCCTATATTACCAACAAGTCTAGACCTTTCACAACATAAATCTCATGTTTCTAGTACTGAGATTATGCCATAACCGAATTCACTTCATTCACTTTGCCACTGATCAAATCACTGATGAAGAAAGTAATGGATAAACCGTATCAAGTAAATCAAGAATGTAAGAATGACTTGAGCCTTGAGAGAGCCCCGAGAGCTGTTCACTCATACTGTGGGCCTGGCTGCGTATTGAGGCGGCACAGCGGGCAATTACGGGCCTGATTTAAATCTACACAGTAGGCTGCGCGGGCGGTCGCGTCGCCTGTTGGATCCCATCATTTTTCATGACACTTATGTCAGAAAACCACTTCATCAAAACAAAAACCCTCCGAGAAATTCACTCCAGCGGGGAGAATAGTGCTGCATTCTTATATTTGACACTGTCACCGACTTGAAAAGCTTGAAGGGTTTCTTTTCTTTCATTTCTGCAAGCAAACCCGAGTGATGGTTGTGACAGAGCTCTCGGCCGGCATCTGCGTGATTCTGTTCTTGTTTTCTTTGTTACCTCAGCTAAGTTCAGGCTATGCCAATGAGACCAACTAGCGTGTTTGCAGAAGCAATGGATGGGCAGCCCAAAAATTTGCTCTTGAGACCTACGCTACCCAGATGAACTTTTTTTGCGTCAAAAACCATAGAAGGAAAGAATTAATAAGTAACGTTTTTTTTGCTCCATCTTGAAGAAGCTTCTCTGGTCATGTTAGCGTTGCTTAGGTTTGCTGAAAGGCTAATTTTTTATGGGGTTATCGCATTTTGAGTTTGAGTAGTTTGATACGATGTGCACGTTTTGAAGCTGCTACCACGTTTGAATTAAAAATAAGTATCTATTATGAAACTTGGAGATGCGAGTACGTTTTGCACACGTTGTCTCAACAAGCTTCTGTACTTGTTCTTCTCTAGTTCAGAGTAGTAAATAGATAGATCACAAGTGTGAAGTTGCTAATCGCACGATTGAGCTTGCCTAGTTAGTGTATACAAAGCGTGCCCGAGTTTTTTAGTCTCAGAATGAAGGTCATTTTTTTCTGTGAAATACTCGGGAACGCAGCCATATACTGCGCAACAGATGATTATGTCTTTCAAACTCCAAGTACAGCTATCCAAAAGCGGAAGATGAAGCGCATGCATTAAATCGTTAGTTATAGCATGCAAAGCATACTCGAGTATCAAGTCTCAGAATGGACGGTAGCATACCAAACATGTTCAATTGTGAAGAGCAGAGAAGGACAAACTCAGAACTGAACATTTAGTTGTTGAAAAAATTAGTTGGCTAGGTGAATACAATCGAAAACTTCCAATGACATCTGCTTATAAGAAAACAGAAGAGAACTTTTTGGACCGTCGAAGATTCAAATGTTTTGATCCTCTTACAACGGTGCGCCAATCCAAACTTCGGATCCGACTCGAACTTCTCCGCACTTGTATTGCCTCATATGCACATTCTGAGTAAATCAAAGTGTCACATGCTAAACCCACAAACCGGAAATTCTGCACGGGTTCAAGTAATGGAGAGGTTAAAAGGAGATTCCAAAGGATCAGTGCAGGTGCAGTTAGAAAATCAAACTCAGGATGAAAAACATTCACTCCTGAATGGTAAGTTCTATCTTAAATTGACAGTGCAATGTTCTTTTCTGCCTAAGCAAGCGTGACCCAAGTACACAAAGTGGCTGCGCGACGCGGCCGCCCGCGCAGCCGGCTGTGTAGATTCAAACACCACTTCTTTTCGGGACCGTGCGGAACAGCCCATATTACTATGACGGTGTGAGCGCTCGGTCACTCATAAGGGAAGGAAGGTTGGTCGAAGTGGCCTTTCTGTATGAGATGTATATTGACTTGAAGTGTACGAAATGCTGGTTGCAATTCTACCTTTTTCATCTGCTGCGGTTTTTGAACCAAGGAGTTTTGAAGGTTTTTATGGGCAAAAAATTTATTGCACGTGTAGAGTAAAAACAGTCGTTGACTTTTCCTAGTGGAATGGCCGAGCTAAGTGGATAAGTTTAAAGTGGCAGAGCTAAGTGGATATGTTTGAACCAAGAGTATCTATTGCACAGAGTAAGGCCTCGGGCAGAGTTCACGCGATTTGATCGTCGTGATTCAATCGCTACAAGACAAGTGTTACGAATTCATTGCATGCCGATCTTCTTGCATTTCGGTTGTGATAGTTAGTCACAGTACTCGTGTTGGAAAACTATCACAACCGAAATGCAAGAAGATCGGCATGCAATGAACTCATAACACTTGTCTTAGGCCCCGGACAGACTTCACGCGATTTGATCGTCGCGACTCAATCGCCGACATTTCCATTCATTTTCATTTCACATTCAAAAATTTCGGGCTGGAGAAGTATCACAACCGAAATGCAAGTTGATCGGCATGGAATGACGTCGTAACAGTTGTCTCGTCGCGATTCAGTCGCGACGATCAAATCGCGTGAAGTCTGTCCGGGGCCTTATAGCGATTGAATCGCGACGACCAAATCGCTCAACTCTTCCCGAGGCCTAAGGCCTAAGGCATACCTCGCGCGATTCCGGTCGCTGCGCGATTTGGCACAACAGCGACTCTTCGTAATTCGTCGTTAATGCGCTGCCTTTGGTCAGAACTTGCTCCATTTGCAACAACTTACACAGGCTACCCAAATATGCATCCGAGAAGCGCACACGATAAATTTGTAGAAATCTGGCAAATCGCCAAGTCGCGAGAAAGTGGCGATTCGACTGAATCGCGTGAGATATGCCTTAGGATGCGAAATTCATTCGAACCGTTACGAAAATATGTTACGACTGATAGCATCCTAGCCGCACATGCAAATTTTTGCTCATTAAACCTTTCGTAACTTTTCGCTCAGGAGCCCGCAGCAGATGGGGAAGGTAGATTTGGAATCAGCCCATACTTTTCAAGGGAGTATCCATCTCACTTCAAAAGGTCACTTCGAACCTTCTTTTCCTTGTCAGTGCAAACGATCTCTGTACAAGAGTTCGTATAATCTCTCTTAACTGTGGTATGGTCGTGTTGCCTGACTTATAAGCATGTGATAGGTGTATTAGACCGAATGAGTACAAAAAAATATACTAGGCTGAATTGCCTTGTTTTAACGCAGCTATTTTCCTAAGGTTTTGCACTTATGTCGTTGTCATAAACACTATCTAGAAGCACTTTTTCTGCTCTTTCTAGCGCTTACTGATGCTTGGCGAATCAATTTTCCAGTGATGAAATTTCAAGCCCGAAGCAAAGTTGCCAAAATGCAGTCATACCCAAGAAAAATTGCCATGGAGAGTGCAATATTCGTAAAACTAAATATATAAAATTTTATGATGGGTGGGGTGTAATGGGATAACATAAGCACACTTTTTCTCCGACGTAGAGAATGTCTTACTTTTCCAATTTTTTTTCAAAGATAGAAGACAAACCCAGTTATTCAACAAGCGACAATAATCCACATATAGCGACAGGTGATGCATTCAATATTGCATAGATTAGAGCAAAGCGAGAACAAGCAGGAACCATCGGCCACTTGGCTTCCTTCATTTGCGACAGCAAGAAAATTCAAATGTTAAAATAATGGTTTTTTTTATTTGCTTGCAAAAATTTCTATGCAGCAAAGATAACCCGAATCCTTTCTAGCCGCAAAAAAACTTCTGAAGTATAAGCTACTTAAGGATGGCAGCCAAATATGTCTGCCCATCCTCATATGGAAGCAGTAGTAAGTCAAACTGGACGGTTTTGAAGAAAACCTCGTAGAATTCGAGAATTTTCTCTTCTCTCTCGCTTGCCTTTGCTACATGACATACAATGCTTGTGATAGCCATAAAGTTGTTTAATTCAACAAAATTTAATTTGTCAGAATTGTTGATTTTGAAAAAGTTATAAGATTTTAGATGAAAAAATCGCAAATCGGACAAAACCTTTGAAACAACCTAGTACTTTCGTCAGAGAAGCATGCTTATGCGATCTGGATATCTTATACGATCGTAAGATCGACTCCGCACTACATTCGAATCGATTTGACGGATGGGATAACCTCAAGTTTACAGGATTCTGAGCTGTGTTTTCAAAGTTTTCAGGTAAATCTGCTGTGGACACTGCTCTAAATCTAATCACAGACAAATATCGCTCAAGTTCAAGGATCCAAAAGATGTGGAAGAGGTACCAAGACGGCGTAAGCACAGATTTTCAAAGCTTGAACACTACTATTAGGTTGTAAAGAAAGTTCCCAGGCACTCTTGGAAATTTCATCTTCGGCGCTCGGTCGGACCTTGACACCAAGTTTTTTATACTGTTCAGTAGAAAAAAGTGTAAAGTTTTTGATACGGCTTCTGATTATTGATTCTGATTGTTATGCTGGTGGGCCGCAGTGAGGTGCTGGAAAGCCAACAAGTCAAATATATGTTGCGGACAAAATTGTCTTCGCAATCAAGTTTGTAGCTTCAGAAAAGAATCAATCTGCTTGAAGTTATAGTGATTTGAATAAAATTTTCGCAAGTGCCGGGAACTTTCTTTACAACCTAATATTTATTTCTTACAGCATCATTTGTCGTACTTTTCTTACTTTTCAGCATTTTTTTACCATATTTCAGCTCATATCCAACGGATTTCTTAAAAGTGCTCAACAACAACTAGTCGAAATAGATGGATGGTGCATGAGCGATTTGTCAGTGTGCTTCTTATAGTATCCATGTACTATCCGGTGTCAACGACATACTTAGCGTTTAGTTTTTACGTGCCTACATCAGAAATGCAGTACATGTGCGATCTTTTGGTCATTTTCTACGAAGCAAAAGTATTTCATGAAATCGCTATATCGAAATTTCTGTACACCGTACCTCACAACAGGTATAGCGCCATAAATCCTTGATCAAATCTTTCATTTCTTTTCTTTCAGAGCCGAAGGAACGCAATATTTGTACCTGTGGGGAAGTGATAGGGAGAGGTGGGATGAATTTTACAGCGAAAAGTTGATTATGATACATCCGATCAAACTTAACGGACTGCTCGATCTGAGGCAGAGATCAAGGTAAGCTCAACATAATCGAACGAATAAAAACACTAAATTGCAGATTCTGCAACACTGTTGTGCGAACCTTCAAGCAATCTCTTTTTCCTACAATAAAGCTCACTCCGGCCGCTGACTTATCATATGAAAATGATTCACGTAATTCCAAGGAAGTCGAAGAGAAGTAGATAGAATATTATATGAAACGTATATTGCATAAACTGCATCAAAAATCATTGACGTCTCAAAAAGAACACAACCTTTTTCTAGGAATATTTACTACGACGCCTGCAATAAGTTGTTAATATATTCAACAATCATGATCAACACATTCAACAATCATGATCACCACACGTCAAAATGTCCATGCAACTGACCTGTGTAAAGGCCATTTTAGGAGGCATCACAGTAAAAGTTTACGTTATTGTAAACCTGTATGAATGAGTACTACAGAGTGCGTCAAGTTTACTTGGGCGTTTTTGCAATGCCATACTCGTGCAAGATGAGCTCAACTACAGTTGAAAAACTTCTTTTTCAATAAGACCTCATCATCAAGGTTCATATAGTGCGATTTTGAATCTCCAATCATGGCTGTAAGAAACCAGAACATATCCTGCATTACGCAACTCGCATGTCTTCCCAAATTCGTTGTTTCTCTCCGCGAAAATTGCTCCTGTCATGCAAAAAACGCGTTGAATGATTGAGCAATTTCAACCGTATGTTTTTTAAGAGATAAAATTCAGTAAACTTTCAGCAGGAAAATCATCAACATAGTCGAAGGCACGTGTATTGAAAAACTGCACAAATCAAAGGTGCAAATAAGCAAAAGAAAAACGAAACTGATTCTAAATCAGGTCTGGATCTGAATCTATTTAATCGAAAGGAACTGGATAGTTATCTGGAAGATTTTTGAAGCAGTATGGCCTTGATGGTGACAGCTACGCTTCTGTAGCTTACAAATATTATTTATACAAAAGGCCACTAACACGCAGGTAACGTTTGCAAACTATTTGGCCGCTTCCGAAGAAATACAAGGTGTCCCAAAAAAATGTGAACACTGTTTGATCCTTAATAACTCCGTTACTTTCATGTCTTTCGCCGAGCTTGGGGCACCATTCTGTAGAGCGAGGTTCAACTTAGATTTGTGATGTGGAGCGAATCACCGATCGCTCTCCATTACTGTAGGATTACGGTATGAACTTCTGGCATGTGGATCTATTGTGAAATATGCCATTTGACAAAATTTTTTCCAAAAAATCTGAAAAATCGTGTACTAGGGTTTTCGCGCACGCTGATTCCATAACACAACTTTTTACGAGTGTTTTTAGCTTTTTTGACGGTGTAATCACATTTTTGACAAGTGCAGATTCGGTCATTTAGGTTTACCTGGGATAACCTTGGAAAGAAGCGTCACAGTGAAGTGGAAATTTCATATTCGAACTCAGCGGCTTCCATTACCCATGTATAAAAGTTTTTGGCTTGTTTAGTTTTGTTCCGAGGCAGAATATGGCTTTCAACGGTTTGAAATCTTCGTCAAAATTTCTACCGTAATCCTACAGTAATGAAGAGAGATCGACGATTCGCTCCATACTACAGATCTAAGTTAGACCTCGCTCTATAGAATGATGCCTCAAGCTCGGCGAAAGACATAAAAGCAAGGGAGTTATTAACGATCAAACAGTGTTCACATTTTTTTGGGACACCCTGTATGTTTTGGAGAGGGCATTTACAGGGAATCAATACCGCAAAGCTCTTTCACACTTCGAAAATGGAACGGTTCCGAAATGTAGCAAAAATATTCAGTTGAGATGAGATGTAAACATCAGAAAATTTGGTTTTTGCGCACTTCGAAAAATATTATTAGTTTTCTACTTGCAAGTGCGATCACAATGGCCTCATTAAGCGAAATTTCGTAGAGGATGTTTGCACCACCCTGTAGCATGATTTTCAAATCCAAAAATCAGAGTTTTTTTGTGGCAGTGCTGCAAACCCAAGAATTCGGCGCACCCTGTGTACCAAATGTTGTCCGTCTATGTTGCTTCGATGACTTAGAAAACGCTGTCTATACACTGGGTTTCCACAAAAATGTAGCAAAGTTTAATCGCTAATAACTCTCTTGTCTGAATGTCTTTCGCGGAAAGTAGCCCGCATATCGTAGAGCTAGCTTCAGCTCAGATATACGGTACTAAACAAATATTATCCGTCGTTCTCTCGATCTTCCAGCTATTGTGGCTGTTGCAATAACTGCCATTTCATAAAAATATAAGCGTCTAAAAATTTGTAGTCGGATCCTTAGACCCGCTCATTTTAATAAATAACTGCTAAGCTAGAGATTGCAATGAAGCGAAAAGCTCAGGTATAGCATTGAAGCAATGTTATCTAGGGTCGTCAAGTTCTCATACCTAGCACTTCAATCCTAGCCTTAGGGTTCCTTCATACTACGCCGCAGAAGGCGGCGTGCGCCGCTGCAGTCGCAGTAAAAATATACGCTCACGGCAGCACATGTTCGCCGGTTATGGATGTATATCTTTATATCTATATTTGCTGCACGTTGGTGTTCTCCAAGAGTGTTCCTTCATAGCGAGCTAGCTTATATTTTCACTGCGACTGCAGCGGCGCACGCCGCAGGACGCGGCGTGCTGCGGCAGGCTGCTGCGTCCTGCGGCGTAGTATGAAGGAACTCTTACACCCTTCTGGCGTGAACGTTAGAGCCAGCTAGCACCCGCCCATAATCTCGTTGACACTCAAAGGTGGGATTTTTATGAATGCATTTTGAAAAGCAAAGTTCAAAGGTCAATGCTTTTGATCGATTGAACCTCCTGCACTGTGCAAGTCTTCTAGCAAACGAACTCCATATTTTAGTGGTTTGAGGGCTTCGTAGTTTGTTTGCCTACACGTACGAGACAGGCTGATATCATGCTTTTATATTGTATTCAATTTCTTATTTCTTCTTTGTTGATGCACCCTGAAAATAATTGTAACTTTGGTTCTAGTGGTAAGTCCTGATATGATTTGATCGATATAGAAAACGGGTTAAATACAAGATAGTTTATCCTAATGGCACAAAACTAGCAGCAACAAGGCTCCTACCCGATTTGGCTTTCTCAGTAGGGTAATCTGGCTATTTCTTAGGGGAGGAAGTACGCCTCTCTTCAACAACTCGTTGAGATTACAGGGCGCCTTCTCTTCGTCTAACTGGTCCCCCCTCCCTCTCTCTCCCCCCCCCCGCTTCACCCTGTCCACCAGTGATTGCCTTGAAAGAGGTCAAATAAGCTTTTCCTTTCTGAACACTGATAGAACGGTGATCCTTGCTATCCAACACATAGCAAATGGTGAATTCTTTGTATGCACTCTGTGTAAATTATGGCAAATAGTTAATATATGGAACTAACAGTGCCAGTTTTTTTGATAACAAAATTATAAGGTGCTTTGGACAAATGTTTTGAGCCAATTTATGCTCTCAATTGCTCAAAACTCTTTCAAAAAATTCTAAACGTAATTTTACAATAATGAAGAAGAATTGGTGAACCGTTCTCTGACATGGATCTCTTCCAATACGCGGCTTGAATATCTGCAAGAGCTGTTCAGGCGAGAGAGTTATTAGCGATCAAAGGTTTTACAGTTAACATTTCCGATACTATGAATAAACAATGGACACTTGATAGTATGAAGAAAAGCTAAGCTGCACTTCATCCGACATACAAAACAACAGTTATGAGCAACTCATGCAGAACATGTGCCTATGGCTTAAGGCGTACTTCTCGTGATTCCTTCAAATCGCTATCAACGCGACCTGGCGACTTGCCAGATGTTTGCCGGTTAACTGTTCAGTGGTCTCAAATGCATAAACGCGCAGCTTCTTTCAAATGTCTTAAATGCATTAAAAGCAGCGTTCACCCAAAAATTCGCCTCCCACGTTTTTGCCAATCTGGGGCCTTTCCGTGCACCTGATTACGATTATGGTGTTCAAGTTGTCCAAAACCCCAAAAAGCTCGATTCCTGGGGACCCTGTTTTGAGGGCGCGGACGGTTTTAGTACATGGGTGGGCGGAGCTTGACGGGATCTGGGTGGGTCTTGATAGCATTGGCAGTTCCAGGCCCATTATTCCCGTTCAAAGACAACATTAGAGGACCGGGCCAACGCCAGGCGCCCTCTCTTGGGGCCTACATTCAGTTAGATTTAGCCTGGACACTGCCTTTAGGTTTATCCAAGCAAAGCGCGTTTACAATTAATTATGAAGATTCCTTTTGATGCCAGGCCGCGCAGCAACTCGAATCGCGTAAGGTATGCCTTAAGCCTATCTTTTATAAGCAGACTTTCCCTGCCAAGCAAGTGTTTCAGCTGCTGCATATTCATTCCATACCAAGTACTTCCCGTAGACTTTCGACCAGTCGATTTTCACACCCTTCAATAATTAATTTTCCTGTATTTTTAGATAACTGCTGATCGGCCTCGATGTCATCGGACGAATCCCTTCACGAATTTCCATATCCTGCAAAGGGAGGTTGAGTAAGTGCATTGCGACCAATATTTTTTTAAATGATTTTCCGTCAACATGCTCACCTTCAGTCGTCGTTTCAAAAGCGCCTTTCTTTCTTCGATTACTTTCTTAGCTTTCTCTTCCTTAGCATGAGCAACTTCCTCTTTAGTTTTATCTTGCTAAAGTACGAAAATAACGAAGCCTCTGTGGTCAATTTGCAAGAACTTACATAAATGTTTTTGATAACAACAAAACTGCGCAATTTCTTATTTGTGCCGATAGGGCGCGAATATTGTAGAAGATACATTAGGCGGTCTTGTGGCTTGAGTGAGAGCTCTAGCATCAAAATAACTTGTGCCCACTGAAACTAGGGAGTTGTCAAATTTTTCCAAATATTGTAAAAATAACATGAAAGTTGTAATAAATATGGTGAGTTCTGAGTCACCCAAAAATAAGCATACTTGTCGTTTATACTCCTTTCTTGTTCTGAAAATGGTGTCATAAGTTCTAGTCATCATAGCAATAAGCAGATTAAACTGCAGAATCGATACTCCAAGCTCGAATATGAGGAAAACAATCTGCAAAGAAATATTTTTCTGCAATAATCTGTATAGCAAGTAGCCGTACAGACCTTTCCGATTCCATTCATAATTTTCGCTGGACATAGTGCGAGATTTCTGTAGAGAACAGTGAATTCGCCTATAGTCAAGATGAAAGTACGAATAAATGCCTCCACAGGATTCTGAATGACGTTTTGGAATTTCCCTTGCAGTCCTTTCTTTTCCAATTCCATATGTTCACGTTCGCAACTGAGAAACACTAGATAGAATGCTGAAGTGGACAAAATTTAGAAGATGCTTGCAAGGAAAAGCTTGGGAGTGCATACCTTGAGAAAAACCCATAAGGAAGATGCCGTAAATTAGTAGGAAACGTCGGATATCAGTGGCAATGATTTTGTATACCATCAAGACAAATGGACCAACAAATTTGATAGCTCTGAAATTTCGAATGGTTATTAAAGCTGTGTACAGAGTTGCTTGCGCTAGCGTCTGCCAGTGCCATCAATCAAGCAGTAGGAGGCGCACGTCGTTGCCACGGTGCTGGCTCGGCGCTGGCACGGCTCTGGCACAGCGCCGGCATTTGAGTGAACGCAGCTTGAGAGGTGGCACCATTTCAATGTTTCCTACCTGCAATAGTAGAGGAAATGCACAGTGGTAGATATGATAACCAGCGTTGACATAACATTATCAATAACAAGAAGAGTTGGATCTATACTGCAAGCTGCTCTAATAGGAACCATCAGCAAAACCAGCATAAACGAGAACTTGTATGCTACTTTTGCCGGAAATTCTTTCTGAACAAGAAGTAGTGACTTTTATATGCACATTCTAGGTGTATTACTGATTATTGAATTCTTTCAAAGATCTGCGCAGTGTCTTGTACTTGTACTCTTTTACGTGAGTTTCCCATAAGTTAAGGGATCCTCACACAAAAAAAACTCATTCAAGAAGTTTATCCAAAAATTTACAGTCTTGTAGATGCTCGGGTCTTTGAGAAGATATCAATCTCAGAATTGGGTATTGAGCTCCACTTCAAAGGCGCGTCCATCCAAAATTTCGCTTTCCATGTTCTCATTATTTTGGAGCCTTTCCGTGCTTTTGACTAGAGCTATGAGGTGCAAATTGTGCAAAACCCCCAAAAAACCCGAATAGTGGGAACCCTATTGGCGTCACAGACGATCTTCAGTACTTGAGTGGGCGGAGCTTGACGGGGAGGGCATTACCTGATAGCACTTTCGTGAGCTCCAGGGCCGGTAGTAATCCCCCGAACTGGCGGCAGTTCTCATCGGCAGGTCGCTGGCACCTTTCCGTAAGGTGGCCAGAAACTGAAACCACAAATTTAGGCCGTCCCAGACCTTTTTCCAAGAAATTTTCTCGATAAAGATGCCGCCTCGACTCTATAGAAACCTCCATCAAAATTTGCGGTTCCAGAAATCTCCGCAGGATCCGCTGCCAGCAACTTCGCGAGGTGAGTGCCGGCAACCTGCCGCAGCTCGTCGAAATTCGCAAGATGTCAGCTGCCGGCAGGTCAGAGAGCACAAGAAATAGCGTGCTCTTTTAAGAGAGAAAGCTGCCGGCATCTCGACGTGCCCCTACCACGCGAGGTGCTGGCACCCTTGCCGACGGCGTCTGTGAAATTGCGTTGCGCGGCAATTTCACACAACTTACGTCCAGCAAAAGAATAAAAAAATTACTTTTCATCGAAAAACTATCCTTTTTGTCATTATATGGGTCCTTCTCCTCCAAATTGATGATATGTATGCACAAGAAACGACTAGTGACGGCGGCGCTTGAGGCTGACGCATGCAGGTTCGAACGCGCGCGATGCACTGTTTTGCGGCTATCAGCATGGTCAAAATTTCCTGTGCATATGACTGCGGAGTAAGCGGATTTGAGATTATCAGAGCTACGATCAATCCGCGAGCTGCCGCCGGAATTGGCAACTTTCCGCAATGTGTGCCAACTTGCCGGCATCTATGATGCCACCAGGTAGGGTAGATTACTATCGGCCCGGGTCCATTTTCCCTACTCGACAACTTTGGAAGACCGGATCAGCGCAAATGCCCCTCCCTGAGGTCTACTTTCAGGCGAGGTACTAATCGGAGAGGCTTAGATTTTGCCTGGACGCTGCCTTTGAGTTCTTCTTCTGTCTTCTTCTTGTCGTCATAAATTTCTTCTGTCGTCTTCTTCACACGAGAGTAGGGTGTTACTAGCAAACGGGGAAAAGAACTTACATGGATTGCCCACCACTTTTTTCGTCCTATCCTTTTTATATCATTGATTTCCATAAATAGCTGCATGAGGACGCATAAAACAACAATTATTTCAAAACCACCGCGCACCTGAAATCCGAGATCCTCAGATTTGGTGCGATAATGAAATAAACAAATATAATCAAAATATGTTTTTGTGTTTGTGTTAAATGGCTGAGAACGTACCGGTCCCTGCCATATTGTTAGATTCGGATCCCAGTAGTCGCGCAAATGGCACTGCGTCAGTTTTTCGTCTAAATATAAGAACTTATTCATAAATTTTGATAAACATTGCGCAACATCTATCTTTGCAGACAGATATTTATTTCTAGCATTTCATTCAATGATTCAGAATTTTTCAAAAATTCTGCACTATGTTGGCGATGAGAGCGGGAATATCCCAATCATGAAACAAACGAACAACGGATAGCATCTATTCAGGCCTTGATGCAAATTTTAAGACTTTGTTTCTAATGCAAATTGAATAATTGATAAAAACGAATACAAATTCTTAATAAGTATTTTTAGGAAGAGCTTTTATAGGAAGATTGCTGAAACTTGAATCTATCGTCGATTCATGCCACGCAAAGACTGGGCGCCGTTGCATCCGACGAAGATAGTTTGTGCATAGGAGAGACAGCAGACAGTAAGAGGAACGAAAGAGCGTTTGATCAGTGAGATGCCGGTAGTCCGCAGTCTTTGCGTGCCAGGAATCGCCTATACGTCACCGAAAGCGTGCTTTTTATACTATGTGATTACTTTAAGAGTATCCAAGAGATTCTGCGTCAGCACAGTGCTTTCATAATTAACAATGTTTATCTAATTATGAATTTTGCACTATACATCAACTTCTCCTTCAGATGTCACACCAATTTACTGTAACAGCTGCTCCTCGAAAAAAACGTTTTACGAAATTTTCTTTTGAGCGTCTGAATGCAAAATTATAAAGGCTTTATGGACAATTTTTGAATTTTAGTCAATCCAACATAGACAAAATGCTGGAATTCACCGAAGTTCAATCAGTGAATAACGAACGGTGATTCTATGCTATTAATCTAGGGTTAATCTTTATTCAATATTTAAAAAATAAAGGTCCATTTTCCGAAACACTCTGAATCACAGCACTTCAAAGACTTACGGTAAGTCTGGTAACCGCTTGAAGTCCATATGGTAGGAAACGAGTTGAGTTTGTAAGTTTCGTTGAGCACCGTTCCATTGAAAGTAATCCAACCAGATGTAAGTTGCTAAAAAATCCAAAAAATGCCTGAATCTGCTTTTTTTTCACAAGAAAATCACACCGATGTCGACATGGAAACAGGTCTAAGAGTAAACGCCATAAACAATGCGACATAATAAAAGAAAAAAGAGCCGAGTGACCGCAACATGCTGAAAATATTTTTTTTCAACCTTCTCAGTTTTTACATTGAACAATTAAAGAACGTACCTTCTCTTTGCAAAAGCGTGCCATTTTGCTTCTAGAACTCTTTCAAGAAGTCCGTCAAGCAGATCTAAGTGTTCTTTTGATTCCTAAATGGAGAAGGATCAGAGAAAAAATATTTGCATGTTTTCATGAAATGTGGAAGAAAAGACAGGAGGATTTTCAGGAGGATTTTAGTGCGCAAAGAATGGAAGAGAAAACGGAATTTGGCTGGGTTAACCTTCAATTCAACTAGCTTGGCGGCCGGTGAGGCTGCTCGCGCTCGCAACGCAGTCTGCGTCTCTCCCGCGCGCGTGCTCTTTGATTACTAACTAGCCTTAATTGGGTCATGAAGCCCCGCCTTCCAGCAGTCAAGCAAGTCAATCAGAGGGTACATATATTTACATAACATAAGTTTTATTTTTTTTTCTAGAAATAGTACTTGGAAAATATGTGGCTGCAATCTAAAACAAAGCAAAATAGGTATTTCGTAACGACATAACCTTAATCTTGATTATCCCATTGAATCCCAAGAAAAGAACGCAGGAACAAATTGGCTACTGCACATCAACCCAGCGGGTGTTATCGGCCACGCCTCTTTTATAGAAACAACACAGCAACAAACTACCATTTCTCCAACTCACCCCATATACAACCAGTGAGAGAGCACTCGCTTCATTCAGCTCTCCTGTCGATTCATTGATGGTGTCTATTTTGGCAAGCGGATAGGCTGTCGATGAGGCTCCACCGTAAGCCCATACAGAATCTCCTTCTAGCTCTAAGATTTCCATGAACATCTGGAACGCGCGATAAATTCGCGAAACAATATCTAGAAGTCAGTGGAACCTCTTTCTTTGCAAGCTTTGCGGCTAAGGTCAGTGGAGTAAGATTTTGCTTGTTTGCAATGTTTAATCGAGCTCCGCTTTCCAAAGCTAGACGGAACATGTCCTGAAATAAAGATTTTACTTTATACTCAAACTTTGGCAGGTGCTACATGATCATGTTGAGTTGCTGAAGCCCGAAGGGGGAGTGGTGCGCATTGTGGGCGGAGCTGGTCAAAGAAAACACTGAGAAGCGGGAGTGCACATAATAACATAAGTACTGATTTCATGCTGAATAAACTACCCCTCTGCTCCTCATCCGCTTATGGTGGTGTCGAGAATAAAATGCGCTAACTTATAGACATAGGCAACACAGCTGCATGCGGCGCGGTTGCGACGCGTTCGAATCGCAAATAGAGCATGCAAACAAGGGATGCGCAGACAGCCGGAGATATGCCGTTAGATGGTTGTTAACCGTGGTTTAAGTGATTTAAGTGCTTTCATTATAACAAGAGAACTATTTTCCGGTACTTACCATATTCTCATGAATGACGCACATATGAAGTACGGTATTCCCATTAGTATCCTGAGCATTTGGATTTGCTTTGAAAGCTATAAGGAGACGATAACAATCAGGATGATTCATACAGGCAGCAAATGACAATGGATATTCGCCAAAATACATATGTCTGGAAGTATAAACGCAGTAATCTTTGAATCATTAAATTTCCGAGTGAAAAAGATTAAGGAACTTATAGTGTGTTAATTTGAAGGTTAGTATAGTGCCCCTGCGGTGAAAACAACAATTGCGCGGAAATGGCTGCCTCCCGCCTCATGGCAATATTTACGCGCAAATGTTGTTGCAACCGCAGGAGCACTATATTACCCGTCAATTCTGCTACCGTACCCTGTATAATTAGTCTTTGGTGAAAGCTCAACATATTCGTGCTCCAGCGAATCCGTTCGACTAGCCTTCTGATCCTCAGCACAAAAGAAAGCCCCATAACATCGAGTATTCACATCAGCCCCTTTTTTGAGCAACATATATACCATATGACAATCTTGGTTAATAACAGCTTGGTGTAGAGGGGATAAGCCTGAAATTTTCGAAAAATCCAAAACTTTTCGCAGGAGGAGTTGTTAGAAAATTACCATAAAAGTCTTCAGACAGATGGATATCATTGATTAATTTTGGAAATCTTTCCATAATTTTCATTGCTAACTTATTATGAACATCTGTCCCTTGTAGTAAACATATGCCAATGATTGTTTCACCCATAGCACCTATAACAAATTCATTTTTCTTTTGAAATCTAAAAAGTGGTCCCGCACCTCTTTCTTCCAGTCTCCAAGTGATTTCTCTATATTTTGACTCATTTTTTCCACCTTTGCCTCCACCATCAAGCAACTTCAGGGCTGAAAAAAAATTTCATAGCAACAATTCATGACTCTTCAAATTGATAAATTCTTACCTTTTTTCAGATCTCCCACATTTTCTCCTTCTTGTTTGAATTCGTCCAAAACATTTGGACCACTTTTGCCTTTACCCTTCTTGCGAGAAAAGGCACTCAACCTCTCATTTCTTTCCTAAGATTTCATTATTGTGGGGAAAATTGGCAAAGGAAATTTTTTAGGATGTAACCTTGTTTCTAATCTTCACAAGTTCGGTTATAGCGTAGAGTTTTCCTTTTCCTTGATTATACATTGATTCTTGAACTTTTGTTTCCAAGTAGCCATCAATCAACGAGTAATCGCCACTACTCCGAGCATATCTGAGGAAGTACAGATTATTATAAATATCTATTTCTTGAAAATATAGAAGAGAGAAAGAAGGAAGGAAGGGAGTAAAGAATAGATGGAAATGAAGGACGAAAACGACTGAATAAAGAATTGAGAATAATTAATCTTATATAAAAGGTGAATGTCTGTTTGTCGGTGTGTACGTATGTGCGGAATACAAATTTTAATTTCTGAACCGATTTAGACCAAACTTGGCACACATATACTTCGGGGCGGGAGCGTGTCATAGGCTACTTTTCGTTATCGATCAATATCGATTTTATCGATTTTATCGATTTTTTTTCGCAAAATTCAAGCTACGGGGATGGGAGTTGGCAATGGGCGGTATTTGAGCACATTACGAATACAATATTAGTTTCGGAATTATCAATTACTTTGATCATTTTATCGATTTTTTGCGAAGTTTAAGCTACGGGGCTGGTAATTTGCCAAAGCGGGTAAGTGAGCATGCTGATTACGAATACAAAATCAGTTTTGGAGTTATCGATTACCTTTGTCGATTTTATTAATTTTTGCAATGTTCGAGCTACGGGGCTTGGAGTTGGCACAGGCATGCTGATTTCGAAAACATGACGGGGGTAGGGAATTGGCATGTAGAAATGGGCACGGGGAAAGGTATACAGGGATAGGGATAGGACCTTTATCATACTCTTTTGACAGGGAAGAGCGGAACCGGGTAAGCCAGCTAGTAAATGAATAAATGGACGAATATTTTCTTCGTACGCCATACCTGAACCACGGCAACAGTTCTCCTCCACCATGCATATCTACCAACTTGTACAGTTTCATATCTTCGCGTAGGCGTCCCATGCTGAGCGCATGCTCCTTTTGTTTCGAGTGTGAACTCCCCATGTTGGCTGTTGTTTATCGTTGTCGTTCCCTCAGCGATTGAAAACGAAGGCCTAAAGTGTAGTTTTACGATCTTCTGGAGGAGGATGTGAACTAGGATTTCCGAGATATATTATTTAGATATATTTTGACTTAGATTTGTGGGAAAATCAATAAAACGGGAAGGTGAAGTATGGTAAAGTAATGAATGAGTAAGAATAAGTAGAGGTGGGAGGCACAAATACCCTTGTTGTCTTTGAAATTGAGCAAGTAGAGCATAAATGGCATAGAAGCACTCTGTTTACCGTAATCCCTTTGTGAAAGCCCCGCCCACAGCTTGCACTTCGCTAGCCTAACCGTAATCCAATTTGTAGCAAAATGTGTTCCAGTACTCTAATCAAAAAAGCAACACTTAATTCCACAATCCAATTTTATTGTTGGCAATGTCCTGTTTCAGCTTTGTTACCACAGCAACAAAGAAATATAATATTCATTGCTTGAGGACAAATATGAGTACAATCCTGGGAAGGGCGAAAGGGTGTTCCGGTAAGGCCGGCTAGGGGAAGTTCAAAATGACAAAACTTTCCCAGAGCTGGGAAAAGCGCGATTTATTTGAACTTTGGACGCAATAATGTTATCAAGGGGATGTCTTAAAAGTAAATAAATACCATTTTTAAACTTAATTGACTCTTTCGCTTTGTATTTTGTAGAACGTCAGATTGCCTTTAATCCAGATCTACAGTAGAAATAAATACCCCTCTTTATTACCGTGGGATTAAGGTGGAAGCTTTCAGCAAAATTAAGAACCTTGTATGAAGAGTTTTTTCTACGCTGACAAACTTTAAGAAGGAGGTTGAGGAAGTGACAATATTTTCAAACATAAGGGTTTTGAGAAAAAAAAGCTTTTGGAGGCTTGGAGAACCGCTTACAAGGGAAGGATACCAGCATTAGTTGGCGATTGAAGATGAGATGTATATCAGTAGACGCGCCTTCAAACGCTGATTCCAAATCTGCTTTTCTTTTTTGCGGAATACGTTTCCGAAAGAAGTTGTGGGCGTTCAAATGTCCAATTTTGTGAAGGTTTAGGGGGCCTAAAATTGGCGTCAAGCTGTACAAAAACACTGGAAAGTGAAAAATTATGCTTGTATCGAGTATATTGTTTGCAAGGAAGGAACACAGCCGGTGGAAATCGCATAGGTGTTGTTTTAGAGCACTTCGCTGATTTTAAGCCGCTCAATGCTTGGCAAATCTGGACATTCAAACGCTCATAACTTCTTTCGGAAACTTATTCCGCAAAACAGGAAAGCAGATTTGGAATCAGCGTTCAAAGGCGGATCTAATGATATACATCTCATCTTCAATTGCCAACTAATGTTGGTATCCTTCCCTTGTTAGTATTTTCCGTATTCCTACAATAACGATGAACTATCGATTGATTTCATGCTGTGAACTCATGTTGAAGACATCTTTAGAAAAAAAATCAAAGGCTCGCGAAATTGGTTTGGCAAAAATGGTTAACAATTGTGCACATAATTTGGAACCCATGTACAAAATGTACGCTATCCTCGTTCTTTATTCTTACAGTAGCTGGAATGACTTGTGAAACTTAAAAACAAAGCCAAATTGGGAGCTAAGATCAAAGGCAAAAGTTTCGTTCTGTCTAAACCTAGATTCCATCCCATCAAAACATGATTTCAGGTTTTCAAATATTGTCAACATGGGGATTATACAAAAAAACGAACGAATAAGAATGTTGTCTGAAAATAAAAATAAACATTTACAAATCTTGAGATAAATTCTTTAAATTTGGTTATTTATCTGAAGAATTTCTACTTTAAGCAGCTGAAAATAGGGGAAAAATGCGAAGAATAGAAAGTGCTTGATATTAAGCTCAAGCCCCGTCCACAGCTACGAAACAGCTGCTCGCCACAATATCATATTCGATTAAACAACTGTAAAACAAAATTGGATTCCGGTTGCCAAGGTATTCATTCACACGTGCTTGACTTTAGTGCAAATTTTTCCCGGGAATGTTCTGGAAAATGGGATAAATGGATTTCGAATGGATATTGCGTGCATGAGATTTGTGTGCTGAAGAATTGGAAGAGATATCCCCATGATTAATGGGGGGAGGGGGGGGTGGAAGAATTTTACAAAGAGACCAAAGTACAAAGGAAGAGATACGGTAGCTGTTTCGCCGTTGCACGTGCTTCAAAACTCGTTGAAAAAATTTCGCAACTCTTGCTCAGTTGTTTCCCATTCATCGTTCTCTTTAGTCTTTGATGTTGTTGTCTGGTCGACAAAATACTGTAAAGCTGCTTTATTACTCACTTTATAGATGGGGGGGGGAATAACTCAAAGAGAGACAGTTGAGGGTGAGAGCATTCGTTTCAAGCTTACAGAAGAAAACAAGTTTTGTTTAACAGATCTCAGACAACTGACCGGAACTTCCGCAGAACGTTTGGGGAAGTTCCGCCGGGTTACCTGCGGAATTTCCGTAAATGTGCTGCGGAAGTTTTCAAATGAGGTGCTGCGCAAGTTCCGAAGAATGCAAACCATAACAGCAAAAGAGAACATCGAAGTGAGATTTGAACCTTACCCTATTGACTGTGCGACTCACCTACTATCCTCTGCACTACGACTACATGTTTGATAATGCACTCAAGTTCTTGGCGAGGCCATCATATTAGACAACATATTCAAAACTTCGCGGAAGTACTGCATGTCAAAGTGCTGCGGAACCGGTGGCCTCTTTCGGAAGTTATGAAGCTCTACGGAAGTTCCCGTCTTCATCCAGTCTAACGTAAATCCTGCGGAAGTTCCCATTTTCAGCGTTTCCACTTTTGCAATAGTAAACAAAATCTTGCGGAACCGCTGCAAGTTTTGCTTGCCCTACGGAAATTCCGGTGAATTGTCTGAGATTTGCCTCTGTTCTCAAGAATTCTATGCAAATGTGTAGTTGAACGCACTAAATTTCGTCAAAGAATTTTTGTGAAATAAAATCAGAATCTCAACAAAGTTTCAAAAATTATACAACATAAAATATTTCTATGCCATTTCGAATCTCCATCTGCATCGCATTTGCACCTGCACATTCTCGAAAATGAAACAATCTGAGTCACCACATATAAGTCACAAATGTTTAGAAATAAAGAACTGACGAATGGTTTGAATTGAGAATTGAGGCATTTATTCCTATGCTGCAGTTTCCTATACTACATGATTTTGCTAAAACATAGATTCAAGGACAATTAAATTAGATTAATCTTTTTTGTAACAAACTTTGAAAGATTCGTAAAATTTTCTATTTTTTACAGATTCATTCATTTCGATGTTGCAGAAAGAGGAGGTCATTAAATACCACTGCCTATAACAGCCATACAAATTGCCCAATGCTTTTAGATTGTGCTCGTTCAAAGTTTGGTGGCTGAATTTGCTAGAAGGTCTAACAGATATCGTATTGGTAAAATTTGTTTCGGTTTTGGAGCATTTATTCAAAACTAAGAAAATTGCTGATCGATGACTCTCAAATAGTTACGATGTTCGAATTTATTTGTTTGACATTCTGATTCTTTTCAGCCAAATCTGCAGTCTTATTTTATTCGGGGTACATTTAAAAATTAAAAAAAAAGTTTTCTCATAGCTCTGATTTTTTAGAAAAAATCCTACTATTTTTTGTTGCGAAAACATCAACCTATTAAATAATAAGTCGCTTTGTTCTTGCCCTTTTCGACCTGTCATGAACCAATGGAATCAAAATCGGCAAAAAATTCAAAAATTATTCGACGCAGTTTTTCTTCATCTTTTCAACAGTATTCCATAGCATTTGTTTTCGTGTTCACCAAATAATCTCCAAAATTTCGATCTCATCGTTTTTGTCACATTCAAGAATAACAATTTTTCTTTGGCCTCAGCTTCCGGATAGCTGTGTTGACAGATGAATGGAGCGAATAAAGCGCAAAACACCAAATTTTGAGCTAATCTACAAATTCACACTTTAGGAATCTTCTGGAACTTAGCTGCTCAGGAACTCGATTATCTCTCAAATCTTACAAGTGAGCGTTAGCCGTTCAAAAAAAGTCCTGTCAGAAAAAAAAGAAGAAATAGCTGCATTGAACAATACCCGAGTTATTTGTTGGTTGATGTTCTGTGGGATTTGGCTTGACCAAATATTGTATTCCCTAGCATAAAGAAAAATAATTCTGGTAATTCTGAAAAGCTAGCTGGGGAAAGATATACAGTGCTGCGCTTTGTTTGCTTTGTATTTTTGTCGAAATTTTGTGTCCAGTCAAAGACTGCACCACAGCTGTCGTGCTAGAGTTTTTCCTTTGAAATGCGTGTTGAACTAAAGCCTTCGCTAGTTTCCAAATACTTGACATCTCAATTCTTCAGCATTTTTCAAGAAAATTAGAAAGTGACGTTATGCTAATCGTCAAAAGTTTCTAGGGAACTAAACGGTTCATTTCTCGAAAAAGGTAACACAAGAACTGCGTCACCTACTCGGCACTTTTGCTCTCATAAGACTGAAGTTACATAGAAACCGAATGGTCTGGCTGTAACGCGCTTCAAATCTTATCTTACTATAATATCTTTTGGTATAACTGCCAAAGCGATGCGACGAGGGTACTCTCCTCCCCCATATGCTTTACCGTTGTGCTATGTGTTCTCTTACAGCGTTAACAGCAGATTCGCGACGACGAGGGCAGTCCAGATTATGCGGCGACGAAATATAACCGCGTTACATGAACTAACAAGGATGTGCAGGAAAACGACGAGGGAGTACTGGGGAGCGCATGCACACAAGGAGGATTTATATAGTTTGCATAACAGCGACGTAGAGTTGACGGCGTTCGTAATTAGTTTCCAGACTGTATGCACTTTAAGTGCAAATTATAGAGCTTGCTCCACATGGAAAGTGCAAAAATGAGCAACAATCGTCAAAGATCACCTCCTGATTCATAAACAAGCAAAGAAGGGACCAA